AATAGAAATGAATGAACCTGCAAGTAAAAGTCAAATCAGAGAGCTAAATAACTGATTTGAAACAGCGTTCAGGTAAAACAGTTGTGATAGTACACAGACACTGACAGCACAGTGTGGGGAATAAATATATAATTCATGCTCTGCAGCCCTCTTATTGATATTTTTTTCATCTTCAGGTGCACAGATATTGTGCTGTATTGTAGATGATTGTTTCCAATGTGTATAACATCACAGAAATTGCTTTATAGTGACTCCCGCTATTATCACTGGCAACATATTGTATTCTAACACTCACACTTAAATGCCTTGTGTATGGTGTGTGCATTGCTACTGCAAACAATCCCACAGTGCAGTGTTGCCAAAGTCAAAATGCCCATTGTGAATATGAATATGAGTCACATAACTTTGATATGCAAAATATTCAGAGAACTGTTGCTGCTGGAATGTTTCACAGTCGCTTCTTCGACTTGTTTTTACTGTACTTGAACATCAGCCCTGAAGCAGGGCTGAGCGAAGGCGCCGTGTACCTGGAACCCAAGATATCTCTTTTATCTACATTTTATACCACATATCACTGCTGTTGCTTCATCATCAAACAGTAGGACTCTTTGGACTCTTTCACTTGGCTGCATTTATCCTACATCTAGCATACAGCCCTTTGGAGCAGCTATTCTGTTCACTTCTTTTACTCTCCAGTGCTCTTTGATTACTCTGAAGCATTGCTAATGGTAAATGAGATTAAGATCACCTATTGTACAATCCAGAGTGGTGGATTGTACAATGGGATTAGCAAAGAGTGGTGAGCACAGGGTTCTCATTGCTCAGCATGTAGTAGAAGGAGGTTAGCAGGAGGTGGCCTGCAGCCTCAATGTCAGTCCCTGTGCGCAGCTCGTCCGACGCAAAATCAGAGGAAAGGCTGTTTGACATTTCCTCTGAGTTGCGGTGCCACATCAGCTTATTTCCTGCCTCTTGTAATTTCTTTTCTTTTCCGTTTATCCTCGTTCCCAACCTCTCCACCCCCATCCGCCCGTCTTTCTAGCCGCCTCATCTTTCCCTCCTCGTTCGCTCGGTCTTGCTGTTTCTCTGTCATTCCTCTTTGGAGAAACAGAGGAGAGCGGGCGTGAAAGAAAGAAAGAAAAAAAAAAGAGAGGCGCTCTATGCCGTTACCATGGCAACTGCATCTCAGAGCCGAGCCAGTAGTCTTCCACAGACGTGCGTGCTCCCTCCCTCGTTTTCCCTCCACTTGGCTAGCTTAGATGAAAGCTCAGCTCTGATGAGAGTGAAGAGAAAGAGGCAGAAGAAACACGAGGGAAAGGCTGCACTTGTTAGGGAAAAGTAGCGTGTCATAACCCTCTGAGGAAACAATACACCGCTCCCTGTAATGAATTATTATTACTGATGGCAGATATCAAAGGCAGACCTTGTCAGTAAACTGCACCCAGCGTACAACAAAGGAAGCATGCAGCACATTCTGCCCTCTCAGATTCTTTCTTCTCCTCCGCAGAGGTCTCGCTGAGAGCGGTGATCGAGGCCGTCGTGGGTAATAGTCTGTTGCAGGAAATTAATGCCTTTGCAGAGCTTGTCTGCCTCGCTCTGTGACATCAATCTGCGTTAATTTGGTAATTAATCTGATTTCAAGAGATGTCTCAATAAGAGACCCCATCGAGCGCCGAGCCCGCTCCGGATCGTGTGATTTGTATTCTCTCTTACGTGTTACCTGCTTGAACGCGCGTCCTCGACAGGCTTTCTCATTATCGGCTGGCGTGAATCGAAGATATCCCTTCAAAAGCAACAGTAGCTATCGATCTGAGTATGGTTATAAAATGTGTCACGCTTGGCTGTGGGCTTGCTAACGTGTTTGAAGTGAGAGTGAAAAATGTCCACAGCCGTGAACAGACACTGTTAGAGCGGAGCTGCTCTCAGGTAATTTGTTGCTGTGAACACAGCACAACTGAGACAGATATATTCACAGAAACGGCTGTAGATGAATGCACCGTGTCATGTAGCCCAGATGGATCTTAAACGGTGATGGTGATGGTGGTGGGGGAGGCACGTCAGCTTCTGTTTCTCTTGGACAGAATGAGAAAGCGCGCACCTGTAAAGCACGCAGGGGAGAGGCTCGGTGTTTTCGGCTTGACTGAATTGGACCGGGGGAGGACGCTTGTTGTGCTTCCTCCTCCGTCAGAATGCGATACCTGAGCTTTACCGCTTCACTCGGGGAAGTTTACTTGGCAGTCATACCCACGATCCAGCCAGTGACAGAAAATTGATTTGGCACCTCATAGCTCAGTACTCAGCTGGATCAGACAGCGAGGAGGAAATGAGGCCCTGAGCAGACATACCAGTCCACGCTTCGCTTTTGTCCCCAAGGAGGAGAATTCATTTCTGTCAATTTGCTGTGATTGTAAGTAATGGTGCAGTTGTGATAGAGCTGCAGACCAGGAGGAGGAGGAGGAGTGAGAGGAGGGGTTCACACTCCTTTAAACACGTGCGTGTATGTCAAGACCTCTGGTTGGGAGTCGGGAGGGGACTGTCTTTTCCTCTGAACCAGTGTGAACCGGTTGTGCTGCCCATGCTGGCTGTGATTGCCTACAATCCTCAGGTGCATTATTTTGATGTGATTTGCTGCTTGTGGGGCATAGAGACCTCCAGGGTCATATACAGTATGGATTATATACAGCACAGGCCTTCTGGGGACTTCTGTATAACGCAAGCATTTTTCCTGCTATGCTTACACATTATCTACACTGCCTTCTTTTGATTAAAGGTTAAGGAAGAACGTGTTCCTGGGTCATCTTTTTTTGTTTTAATTCGCCCCTAGACTGAAAACATAATGAGCAGCTTCTTCATTGTTCAGTAAATTGCAAAAATAAAAGCAGGAGCAGGAAGTTTTAACTAGTGTGTATCTGGGCCATTCGCACTAAAATGTTTCACGGCTTCAGAAGCTTCATGCTTAAATCGCTGCTCTCCGCTAATGTTCAGCAATCATACAGTGAGAAATCCATTGTTGGCAGGCAGAGCTGCCTGTTCCCTTTTAACAGACGACTAGGCAGTGCACACAGTGTCATTTTTATTTTTGCATCTCGCACGTAAATGTATCTAACCCACGTGGGCTTCCGAGACATTAAACATGAAGCCTCAGCGCTGAAACAAGACTTCTCAGAAAAGAACATAAATTATTACACAGAAAATCTACAATGTGAACAGAATACCTCTCCTGTGATGGCGTTTCTAAGTACTACAAACAAAATCTGAGTCACAAAAAGCTTCTTTGTTTAAAACTGAAAAAAAAAAGTAATATGGTGCCAGGAGATGGGGGGGGGGATATTGCAAACAGAAGTCCTTGATGTATCCTCTCCATTAGTCATTTTATACGAGACAGCCTGTTTTGTTGATGCATGTTTGCTCCATACCATATATAACACTGGCTATTTACTGCACATATTGTGACTGTTACACAATAACCTGAACACGCAGGCATTTTAGGGGAAAACCTCTTTCAAATCAGCCTGGAAAACTTCTTCCTGAACTGAGCACAAAGCCTAGAAAAAGAGAGAAACAGGCTAAAGCTCACTAATTACCACTCCAGACTCAGAAATGTTGCTAAAGCAAGGCGAAATGCCACATAAACCCTGGAAAACTCGCAGCCTAAATTTGCACCTACTTCTGTTTTTGTATAAATTTAATTTGCGAGTATTGTGTGTTGTTTAGTGAGCTATGGAAGTAAGCCTTTAACGCAGACTTCTCCACTGATGTAGATAAACGAACACATCCTAAGCTAATCTACAATAAGCTAAAACAGGCTAAACTAATCTAAGATAAGATATATAAGACTACAGTTTTTATGTAGTTGTATTTTTATTTAGTTTCACTTTTATTTCTTTACTCCACTACAGTTTGGAAGGAAATATTGTGATTTTTACTTAAAAAAAACCTTGTTTAGTCACTAGTTAGATAAAACTGACACAAAATATGCATCCATGCAAATGCTAACCTACCAGTTTTGCAATGGATGCTTACTGCTCTGATTCCTGAGCCAATTAAATAAAGTGAACCTTTACTTGTTGCATTAAGTTGGTAGAATAGTAATTCAACAATGCATCTGCTGCAACATTTCTACGCTGTGGTTTCTAACTAGTGCAGAGGTGTCTGTGAGAGTGTCTTAAGTGTCTTAAGTGTTTATCTTCTGGGCCTCTGTTTAGACGTGCTAACAGTACACACCTCTGCAAACCGATATAACTGGCTGCTCTGCCGTGTGTCTGCAGTTGCGGTTATTGTTCTATCCACCCACACCTATACCCTGCAACTAAAGACAGCAAGCTCCAACAAATATCCAGGAAAATTAACACTTGACTTCAATCGCTGATGATACATAATAAACCTACATAACTGAAACAAAGCGTCTGCTGCTCTCTATGCATTTTTAGATTTATTAGGCAGAATATTTTCTTTATGTGACGAACAACCGACTATTAGGTTTAATAACTTCTGTGCACATATGCACTCAAATCAGACAGACTGAAGAATTACAGGCGTAGCTGCTGATGGATAAGTAATCTCCTACTGTTACCCTTTTTTTCTCTTTAACAGCTGGTATTTGAAGCAAATACTGACTATAGCGCTCACAACCTGATTCACTTTTTTCTGGTATTCGTCGCCTGAGTGTCAGAACTTGCCTTGCTTAAATAGATGATCACTATCTGGCTCAGTGAGGGATTTTATAATTAAAGTAAATGCCCTTGACGGCAGCATGAATTATGTCTTTGCAAGTGGTGTTTTACAAAGAAAGCATGGCTTTTAGAATTTATAATGAAGGCGCCATTATGGTTTGGAAATACATGCAATTGTGTTTAGAATGTTTCACTTTCTAAAATTTTCCTTTTTCTTTTTTAAAGAGGGGAACGATTAATGACGGCGATATAGCATTGTAGCCCTGCACGCAGTTATTTTTCATTATAAACTTGATATTATATATTTGCAATGCTCTTGTCTCTTCTCAGGTTGGTGTTACTTTGCTGAAGTGACAGAGGAAGGCCTCGAGTCAGAGGTGAAGAACGCAAACAAGGAGTCCTCCCGGACAGCAGGGGGAAGCAGCAGACATGCAGGACTCAGCCTCTGACAGTAAAATAGCGAAACAGGTGAGCATGGATCTCATAGTGCTACGAGGCTACTGTTAATGCTACAGAAATCTAGTTGGTGGAAACACAGTAAAAACATGATATAATAACTTTTATATAGTAAGTTTGGAACTGTTCTAAGTAAAAGTTAATCTGAAAAATAATTGTTGTCTACACAACCGAAGTCTTTGTTCTTCATTAAACTGTTTACGTCTGCTCCATTATCTAATCTTCTTGACTAATCTGTGCCAGGCTATTCCTGTATCTTGTAATGCCATACACACATACTGGATAGTGTATAATCACCAGTTGCTTTGGAAAAATGTGTGTTCCTCCACTGGTTGAAAGTGGTTCCTGGAGGTTGCTGGCTCTTGCTGCGTGAAACTATAAAGAAAGTGAAGCACCAAAAATCTCAGCGTGATTGTTTTGCTTGCTAGCTCATTTCTTTGTTTGAATGGAAGTACAGTGGTCCCTCGTTTATCGCGGGACTTACATTCTAAAAATAACCTGCGATAGGTGAAATCCGCCAAGTAGCCAACTTTATTTTTTTTACAATTGTTATAGATGTTTTAAGGCTGTAAAACCCCTCACTACACTTTATACACTTTTCTCAGACAGGCATGAACATTTTCACATTTTTCTCTCTTGTTTAACCACCTTTGTAGAAAAATAAGTCCAGTATTATGTTTCATTGACATTGTTGTGTTTGTTGGGGAGAAAACTGACAGACATACAGTACAGCACTATAGAGTCACACTGCTAGCGAACGAAGATTTATGTAAATTTGACAAACTGAACGCATTCTGTACTGTACAGGAGGTCTACAGCCAATCAGGATGCAAAACACAATGTGCTGTAAAAAAAAAAAAAAAGCAAACTGTTGCAATGTGCTAGTGAGCAAAGCGACTGCTGTACGGTTGCAATAGATGACTGAAAGTCTGTAGGCCTGTGTAACTGGAGCTGCAGTAATCATTTTCCCGGGAACTGCCATCAACCTCCTCCAGCCACTTCATACCCGTCTCTAGGCCTGTGTGGTCGGGCTTATTCGCTTAGTCCTAGATTGTCACCAAGATTGTCACATGTCCAAAATGGTGGACAAGAGATAAATGTATTTATATGAATTAAACTATTCAGGCAGTCATGCTAACTTAACAAATGTTACTAATGTTCATAACATGACATATTGCAATTTGGGATATACGAGATTTAAAGTCTTTCCAGTGAACATCATTACTAGACATTGTGACGTGCCGAGCCATATACTACTTAGAAGTGTAAGAAAGAAGAAGAAAAGTTTTGGCTGTCGGTTTTGTTAGCTAGTAGCAGTTGCTATTTAGTGGGTGTGGTGAGAAACTGTCACCAGCTCACAGGCCTTTTTATAGCCACCACTGTATAATGCAGGTCTGACTAGTGATGTTGAAATGTATCTAAATATAACTCAGCTGTTTTATGTTTATGTGTCTGCAAAAATGATTTGTGTTTATGGATTTTTTGTTTTTGTTGTTTTATTGAATATATTTGTGTTTTCTGACAGTTTGGCACCGAAGCTCATAACTCACACAGATTTTTGCAAAATACAACTCTCACACTTAAAAAATAGTTTTTGTCCAGACTGTCTTCTCAGGACAGAGCTTTCATCCACTAACTTTGTCATATTTCAGCACAAGATTTTTTCATGTTGCCATAACTTTCTTTCTTGTAGAGCAATGTATATATATATATATATATATATATATATATATTTGCCATTATTGGACTTAGTCTAACAGTATGCGTGAAACTGCCATTTTAAAGTGTGAAAACATTTAAACAGATTCAAGTGTCTGTTCTGTTTTTGAGACTTTTAAATCTGTCGTTTCATTTTCTGTATATTCTTTTATATTTACATGTAAAGGACCAGAACAAGCACATGGATGGACACAGAGAAACCGATGACATGTCTGAAAAGACGTCTCCCAACAAGAACCTCAAATCTCCCCAGAAAGGCTCCAAACGGCTTAAAACGGCCCCCTTTAAAGTGACCCTACTGGATTCCTCCGAGTTCGAAGGAGAAACTGAGGTACGCCAGACGGAAAACAATTTGCATTTACACGTTTTCTGGAATTAGGCTTATCGTGCTTTGAGCAAACAGTTGGAAAAAGGGAACATTATGTTTTTCCCTTTGTTGTTGGTTCCCTCTGTGGGCAGTTGTGTGTGTTGTATAGTGTTGCACAAAGCGGATAAAAGGGGCAAAAAGAATAAAAGCGAGGGTGCCATGCTGAGAACTCACCAGAGGGTGAATTCAAAGAAATGTTACACATTTCTGTAATACACACAGAGACAAAAAAAAAGTCTTCATTCCACACAAGAGATGTGTCGTCATTACACTGCAGAGTGAAACAGGGCATTTGCCGCTTGCTGAGAAGGGAAACTGAATGCATGCATAAGTGAGGACAGAAGCGATAGATGTAAGTCTATTTCCTTAGATAAATACAAGGCGTCGACTTGAACGTGAACTTGGAGTTTTATGACTAGCAGCAGCATGCACCTCAGGCAAAGGAGGCCTATCTTTTTTTTGGCTAAAATATCTTTTCAGGATGTGAAGGATATTCAGTTACTTGACTGTGGAGATGACTGGGCAGCAATATTTCAAGCTATGTGACGTTTTAACTTTTTATCCCACTCAAAAGAAATCTGTGTGGATGTACATCAAAAATCAGGAAGTGAATAGCCTGTCTGGAGCCATCGTGTGTGTACAAAAGCTTAGCGGGCACAGTGTTACAACAGATGGATGTAGCCATTGGTTTCTGGAGTTTCATTTGATGTATTTTGGAGCTAAGACTGACTATATTTGGATGACACACTCGATTAGCAAACTCCATCCAGAAACTGTTCATTAGCAACAAACTAATGAAATCCTAGAAATTCAAAAACTCTCTGTAATAAAAATAACCATCCATTGTACAGCCATTGTTTTCTAATGGAAAAACTTTAAATCTGAACTGTGAAGAATATTCTAGGGTGGGGTAAAACAGATTTTTGTAACATCTTGTAAACATGCTTTGGAAACCGACATTAGATCAGTTTTTGCCCCTTTAGCGATTCTAAATAGCATTACAGCAGATATTGCTGCAAAGACACAAGTGTTGCACCACATCGCATCACTTTTCTGCTTCCCCCGAACCCTAGCAACCACCGGCAACACAGCACATGGACACAGAAGGAATAACTGCGCTCGTGACCAAGAGTCTAATTCAGTTCAGTTCAATTCAGTTTTATCTGGATCAACTGAAGGCTTTTCAGGGAGATTTTAGACTCATCTGATAATTATGAATTATAGTAGTCAAGCCTTCAGCTAGTTTTTCACCATCACTCTTAGACAGGATGTTTCGAACTAGAAATATTGTGCAAATTTAAGTAAACAGCCCCATGTATTTGTTTCATATTTAAGGACATTCCCTGCTCAGAAATAACTCCAGGATTCCTCACAGTGTTACTGTAATGCGATCCAAAGAAAGTATCTAGACACCGCATTTCAAAGAAAACTGTCCTTTGTTACAATTCTGTATTCTTACGCTCCTTATTTTGCAAAGAGGACGGTGGAAAGGCGTTTCTGTGAACGTGTTCTATGTTTACATTAGTAATTCCTCGATACAGCAGATCCTACTATTTGTTCTCTTTATGTTCACCTTATGGTTACTTGGCAGTGATGCTTACAGGCAGTGTTTTTGAACAGAAACTGAATTTTTTATGGCTGTTTTTAGTTTACAAATCATTTTCAGGTTTCCAGTGGTTAGTATGCCCCTTTAAGCTCCAGTGACACAGTTCAGTAGCATGCTGAAGGCAAATGAAAATAGTAAACTGCAGAACAGGCAGCCGCATTTTGTTGTTTACTGAGTTTAAATAACTTTCATGTATATTAACTATTATAAAGCCTGAAACTCTCTTTATAGCCACCTGGCACTGATATATTGAACTCTCCTGTAAAAGCGTCTTTAAGTTCAAGAATCACATGGTTACATGATCATATTAAATAATTTGGTTACAATATTGACCAAACTTATAGTGTGAGGCTGCCCAGTTATACTGAGTAATTCCCAAAGGTGTCAATAAATTCTGATTTCATTGCATTTTTTAATAAAAAGCCCCCAGCACAGGCTACTAACTGGGTGTAAAGAAATCTATATACCTATTACATGATTGGAGACCCGGTGCAGTCGAGGAGAAAATAGAAGAACAATATTATTACGAAGCAACCCTCAGGACACTAACGCACAAGTGCGTGAAACCTTGTGTATGTGGTGTGATGACGGAGGAGGGGGGGCTGTTCATTTACAACAGTGTGTGAAGTAAGACCATCGGCATTGGTGTTCTGGTGCCAACCTCTCCGAGCACTGTGAAAACATCTGGGTTTTATCCGCACCTCAACAGACAACAGCATTATGCTTTGGTATTGTAAGTGCACATCTGGATATTTGTCTACCTACACATGTTTTGTAAAAGTCTAGTTTGCCGACGGTCTCGGACTACAGGCTTGTTCCTGCTAGGATAGAAGTTTTTGAACCTTCCTCATACTTCCAGGAGTAATCATGAGGAACCTGTGAGGAGGCAGGATACACCTTGGGAGCGCTCTCACTGGAGGAGGTGGTACTCACGAGTTAATTAATTCTCTGAGCCTCCCTGCGGCCCTCAAACAGGGAAGGACACACCACACCCTTACCCACTTCTCTCACCCAGCCCCTTCCTTCATGCTTGGTCATGCTGATGTGTTGAATGAGGCCATTTTGGGTGGAATGGCTGGTTAGTCGACATCCAAGATTTCCCCGTCTATTGAGGTGTCAACACTGAAGTCTTTTTAAAAAAATGTTACTGTTTAATTGCACCGGAGCAGAGAGCAAATAGATGGGATCACTTCAGTCACGGCTTATTAAGACTCCAAGACTCCAGTGATTTGTTTATTTCATTCTTTGTGCCGCCTCCGATGGCAGCGGGCTCTCGTTGTACATAAACAGCGCTGCTGTCGGGGACTCGCTGACTGACAAGATGAGAGCTTAGAAGCACTTCCCAAGTGTTCCTCCACCAACCTCCCTTCACTCATTGTGACGAAAAGGAAAAATACTTTTTCAAGCTCTACCCTTGAGATATTAAGGAAACAGACAGCACAAGGAAAAAACTGCTTCAGTTTCCCTGGCAACTCCTCGCTCAATCTTGTCACCTCTTAAAGTAGGCCTTGTGAAAGGATAAAACTGTGTATGCATACTTGTTCTATATTTACTATGGAGTATAAGCCCATGCACAAATTGTACTCCTAATATTATATTCTCTTTATAATACGTATATGCAGCCCAGCCCAGTGAAATATGCGCTGCTTGTTTAAAGATATTCGTACACAGTTATATGCTAATTATTATGGTCACAGTCATGACTGTCTGCATTTTTTTGGCAGTCATTCAACATCATTCCTTTGCATCCTGCTAACTGACCTCCTGATTTTTTTTATTTATGAGGTTTTGAAGTTTTCATTTTTGGATTTGAGTCAGATGTTCCACTATTTTAGGAATGCAGTGGTATGGATTTCAAAGGAAAATGTCAAAATCGTTATGATGGACTGAATTCGGCAAGCGTATACAGCACCCTACAGTCTTTGATGTTTTGTAGTTTTGCCTCCGTGCATCACCACAGTGAGCTGTAAGTCAGACATGTGATTGAAGTCCAGACTTTCAACTATAATTCAAAGGATTTACAGAATGTTTGTGTAAAATGCAATTTTTATACATAGTGCTTCATTTTCAGAGGTTCAAATTAATGGGATAAACTAACATAAATGTAACATAAAATAAAAGATTCTTTTTAATAGTTGAATTAAAAAACAAACAAACCAAAAAACTGAACTTTGCAGCCAGTGTGTTTCCTCCTTTGAGTGCTCTTCTAGACCTTTAACCCAAATTGGTGCCTAATCAGTTTTGCAGCTTTTGATCCAGAATCTTCTACATTTCTCCTGCAGATTTATTTTTATTGAACTCCATGCTTGCAGTTTGCATACACCAGAATAAATAGATCTCTACCAAATATGGCTGACTGTGCCTTCAGTAGTGTGACAGAAAATATTTTCTTTTGTGTGTGTTTGTGGACACACACACACAGAAGCCTGTTTATTTAATGTGACAGGAAATATTACTAAAATTCACCTTGAGTTCTGTCAATAGTAAGTATCAAATCTCTGCCTGTAGTGCAAAGTCTAGTATTCTGCAGCATGTCGCAGTGACTGTATAACCGCACCAAATGAGTTATTAAATTGTGTTTAGGTCCAGAGAACCTTAAAAAGTCTGATAGTGTATTAGTAACCCAGTTCTTTCCATATTAAAAGCTAATTATTACAGTAAAAGGCACTTAGAGTATGCACGTACGATAGTCAAAAATGTAGCAGGCACTGTTTCTCTCTCTCTTGACTTTTTTCCACACTTTTATGTCATGTATGTTTGTCTTTGCAGAAACACTCCAAAGGACAGACCCTGATGGACATGGTGTGTGAACACCTTAACTTGCTGGAGAAAGACTACTTTGGTCTGACCTTTGCCGACACAGACAGCCAGAAGGTCAGTGAGTTGTGTACCACAGTAACCTCTCAGTGCATAAACAATGCTCGCTAAACAATCTGTATTCCTCCCAGTTTTTTGCTGGCACTCTCTGGGGTGCGCTATCCATCATTCAGAGAAGAATGGAAAATGGAAATGTCCGTGCTAAAGTCTGGGCCTGGACAAAAGACATTTGAATAAGTTGTACAGTTGAAGAAGAAATGAAAATGCCTCATCTACTCTTTGCAAGATGCATATATGAAATTTAGTGATAGAGATATTTCTCAGAGGCAGAGCTGCTCCGGAGGTAGAATAATTTCATGGGTTGAGTTAAATCTCCACGGGCCCCAGCTAAGAGCACAGTTGAGAAAAAATTGAAGAGCTAAAAAGAAAAGTTAGATCAAAATGACTTCAGTGACTTTGCTGTTTCTTTCATTTATGACTATGGCAAGGTGAAGAGTAAGCAGGATGACTTTCTGCTTTTTCTCAGGCAATAGCTAAAGGCAAGTTTTAACTTTTAGGTCGCACAGGCTAATTAGCTAATAAAATTGAGTATTTTTTTATTTGAAATTAGATAAAGGAGAAAGGTTCTCAGTGTTGGTTGTCTAACCATGCATGGATTTGTTTGACTAGGTTTTTTAGAAATGTATTAGGTACGCAGTAATCAGTTAAAAAGATCGATTAGCAGACTGCCCTCATAAACTGCACACATATCTGCTAAATAATGCTAAGCAGCAGATTAATAAATGCTGAACTGAAGCACAACCTTCTTGACAGGCTGTACCACACGGGACCATTTTTCTGTGAGATATTTCTGTTAAAAATGCAACAAAAGACACGAACATCACAAAGAGGGTCTAGAGGTCCAGTTCAGCCAGTTTAATTAGCAGAGGTAAAGTATGGCAGACAGCTATCGGCTACAGCTGCAGGTGTCTTAACACCTGTCAATCACAGCAGCCGTTGCCTTTTATCCAGATGGATGGGTTATAAAATATAGTTAGCAATTAACATAGGAGTCTAACGGCATTAAATCATTTCTAGATGTGCTGAATTTCAAGCCTTGATGTTGCCACTTGGTGCTGCTAAAGATACAAGTAGCTGCGTTTAGTGATCATGTAACATAAACGAAAATGTGAGTTAGAGCAGTAAATATGTACATTAGTTCAGTGCGAACTAAGACCATGAATATAAGGATTCATTTACACAGGCCTAGAGATTGATCAGCTACCTCATGGTAACATCAGTAACTCCAGTAAGGAAAGAAGGTATATTCCAGACCAGTTGGCTAGTTTTTGCTGGGTGTCACTGGGTGAAATAGGTGAGTGCTAAACAACAAAGCTCCTTGTGATTGCTCTGGTTGCTGCAGTGAGTGTTTGCAGACGAGACAGGCCCTTCCCTACAAACTACAGATGAATGCTGCTAGTAACAAACACAATCACATGGAGGGTATGAGATAGAGCACCACATCTTTGCAACCTATATCACCTAGCAAGCAAGTTTCACTGATGGTTAGCATAGAGTGACTCTATTGCCCAAAGGAAAGAGTAATCAGAAACCACATGCATTAATAATGTTGACTGGATGTATTGTAGTGGTGTAGCCATAACAAAGAGCACTGGCTAAATAAGGCGGTGCTTTTCTTTTAAGATAGCAAGACATGCATAGATCAGACACAAAATTAGCATTTACTTTGATTACATGTTCACTAGATAGTTACTAACTTGTCCATCAATTGGTACCTTAGGGGACTTTTCAAATTATTCATGATGAGCAGCACATCTTTGTTCTCATGTACTCATAATAAGTTAAAAGAACTCACAAGTTATTAGAAAAATATTGATTATTACAGCTGAAACAGCCTCACATAGAGTGAATCTGTGTGTTTACAGTTCTGAACAATATCTCAGTGGAAGTAATCTCTCGGGTGAACTGACCCTTAAGATTCGTGGCATTATCTTGCTTGTTTTTGTGTCACTTGACTTTCGTTTGCCTCTTTTTTCCATCATCTGAAGTTTAATTATTTCCTGATAAATGGGCTCTAACATTAATCTCCAGTCAGCACACCAACCTTTTTGACATTTTGAAACGAAGGTCTGAATATGTTAGTCACGGATTGTTGTTGCTTTGTTATAAGGTGTGCGGACCAGACTTATCATATAATCGTATAATTAATACGGACCTGATGGGTCCTGGCTGTCAACTCACATGAGAGTGCTGTGTTTGATGTGGGTCTGGGGTTTTCATTGATGTCTTCCCAGAGGGTAGGTATGGGATTGCACAACAGGCTACAGAGGAACCTCCAGTCTTTTAAAGATAGGACAAGACCAAGCCCCTTTTAACATCTGGTGCGTATCCTCTGCCCCTGTCATTGGCTTGTACACAGTTTGTCAGCTCACATGCTGTGACTCGAGGTGCACAGGATGATCTTGGACCTCACAATATGACAGTCTCATCAAAGACGGCCTTATCAGGGCACAGCGTGAGCTTAGTGTCAGGGGTCAGTGCTGATTGGTAGACCAAACAAGCTTGAGAATTTAAATGTCATTTCAGATGCCCTTTCCCTGTCTCAGTTGGGGGAACAAGAACTCAATCTCCACTCTCCAAGAGAACATTTATTCTATGTGATTTCTTTAGAAAGTAAAGTTGAAAAACAAAGTGTAAAATAATGAATCAGTGATGAAAAGTTTTTCCTGCTTTTCAGCACCTGACTAGTTCTCTTTACCCTTAGCTGATCGAAGGTGGATTCGTGGTGACAATCGAATGGCTGCGGCTCTTTAGTCTTTAACAGCACGATTAAACACCAGAGGAGTAACGCAGGAGGCAAACTGTCAGAGATACAGTTTGCAGTTTGTCTCCGTTGAGGCCACGGAGTTGCAGTGTAGTGTAACAACCCTTCATGGTTTCACTCTGATTCGTGTAGTACCAGCTGTCAAGACGACGGTCAGCATTAGGAAACAGCTGCTGTGTGGTTTTCAGGTTAGTGCAGCTCACTGTCAGCTCTCTGCATCGTGGATTGCTCAAACACCCGTTTTTATGTCTGTAAGCATGAGGGTGGAATTTACATAACAATAGACACCCATTGCAACTCATTTTCTTTAGTTAGGTTTTTGCTAGTCCACTGACCTTTCCTCTAGCTCCGCTGTCAGCATCACAGTTTTGATTTCTCCTGAAACTTCTTGGTAACTGCTGACTGGTTTAAGTTTAGATGATTCTTATGAATGACTTGAGCAGCATCTTAACTTTGCTTCCACAACATCCACTGTAGACAGACTTGTTATATGTGCTGAATATAAACTTTGGGGGCTTTGGGGGCTGCATCCTCCTGAGGCCGCATTTGTAGGCCGATTACGTCACAGCGACACGACGAAGGCTGTCCAAATTCGTAGACTCCTCCAAATGTGGCCGACAAATGCGTCCTCCTTTTCCCAAGATTTGAAGGATGGGTCGGGTGTATCCTTCGTGGCCATATCCCAGAATTCATAGCGTGGCCCAGCCAATTCCAGTTTCCAACAATAGCAGCAGCTACTTAGTTTTAATATTACTCTTACTAATTTTTCTGGGTCACAAAATTAACTTTTTAAGATATTTTCAGGTGAGAATGTAGCTGTGTAAACGTCAAACATCTGCTCAGTTTATCAAGACATCACATATTTGCAAAAGTACTCCGATGTTTTCGGAGGCACCCATCAGCTTGATAGCTAGCCGGCGGTTCAAGGCTCTCCAGAGCCGGTGAGAACAGTGAACCCCCGGCACATCGTTTTCATTATTTGAGATTATAGCTGAATAAATGTCAAACGGAAAACTGATTAAACAGAAGTCTGAGATGATCGAGAATTTACACCAGTGTCCTGTTATATTTTAGATAGAAAGGAACAGACAGCCGAGTTTATTAAACGCCACCGAGACAGCGGTGACGCAAAACTGAAGGCTAGACCGTCCAATTTCACAGCCGTTTACTTCCAGTCTACCCGGCCTTCGGAGGACCTCAGGAGGATGCAGCCTATGAATTTGGACGCGGCATTTATGAGCATTGACAGTGGGAGTGTGCTAGCATGCTGTGACGAAATTACCGACCAGCAAACATGCCTATAGACTCAGTGTGGTTCACTTTTGCATGTTTGGCAGAAATAGCCGTTTCAGGTTATTTTGCATTCCATTAACTGTTTGTGCTGTTAAATAATCTGCTGTTGATATGAAATTCAGTATGTTATGGCATAAAAACCTTAAATTAGCCTAAGAACAATGCAGTTGTTCTTTATAATAAAAGTGTTGCTGCAATTTTGATCTGTTGACATCGTAGTATATAAACCAGGAACCAATAAATTCATGTTTACAAAGGATATACTATGTGTTAGCTTATTTTACGTCATTTATACAACAGTGGATGCACATAGACAAGGTTCCAATTAAGGAGGTCAGTGTATGTTTAAGTGGGACTGTCTTGGAGACTAAACTCAGGCTTCATACTGCTCTAAGCCAGGATTTACTCATACACATCACTTCACTGATTAATGGTGGGCGTGCCTGACATTTGGGGACAAGACTGGTACAAATAAGTAATGTACCCAAATAAGGCAAGTCAGGGGAGCTTAGTTTAGAAGTTGAGCCAAGCCGGGCACCTTTTACAAACTTTATTTATAAATGACGAAGTGGTTTCTCACCGCAGGGATAAACTTCTTCATGTCAAGGTCAAACAAACGGCACAAGCAATTTTACTGGCTAGCAGCAATACTACTATTACTCTAAAGTCAAATTTTCGCTTGACTCCGAGGCCTGTGCACCACAAGGTGACAAATGGTTTGTGCCTCTGTGATCCTCCGCACAGAAGCACAAATCCTGCTGAAGTCAGGGGCAGCCAGTCAGAAGATAAGCTGGTTTAAAGAGAGAAGCTGCTTATTTTAAATGTAAAAAATATACATTTTTCAGACTTTTCTGATTAGAGTATGTATCATGTATTAAAATTACAACTATGAGGTTGTTTTGGTTGAATTAAATAATGGAAACAATGCATAAATAACAGTAGTAACTGGATATAAGGTCAGAAAAAGACGTCATCAGAAGCCTTGAGAAAGGTAAAAAAAATAAGAAAACATGACATTGAACACAGAAAACATTGCAAACCCCCAAAATCTTCATCACGCAAATGCAACCAAGTGTTTGGAATAACTGATAGTGAGTCTTTCACACCACTTTTGAAGACTTTATGCCCACACTTTTGAAATCTTATCAAAGCATCACAATCAGATTGAAGAATTTTGGCTTTTTTACTCATTCAGAGGTGGTCTTGCGAGTCTGTTTTGGATCATTGTCCTGCTCTTGAGCTTCAGGGCATGAACCGATGGCCAGATAATCGTCTCCCTGATTGTCTAGTAGAGACAACAAGGTCCTGAAGCAAATCAGCCCCAGATCATGACCATCACCATGCTTGCCTGCTGGCATGGTGTTCTTGGTGTTATGCCAGATGTAATGGGACTCAAACCTTCCAAAAGTTTACCTTTTTACTCGGCAGTTCACAGAATACTTTCCCAACAGTCTCTGGGATCAGTGAGATGTTGTCCAGTTGTGTTCTGTTTACTCAGCAGTCCCATTTTTGCACAGTGTTGAATCATGAACTCTGACCTCAAGGCGAGTGTGACCTGCATTTGTTTAGATGTTGTTTTTTGTTCATTTATGACCTCCAAGATGAGTCGCCAATGAACTCGTGGAGCAATTTTGGTATTATTATTGTCTAATGTTCAAATTTGTTTCATGTTCTGAAATATTTCGTTGTGACAAATATGCCAAAAAAAGAACTAAGGAGCAAATACTTTTTCACAGCAGTATACATCGTTTTTTTCCCTAAGAGTTCTTGTGGGAAATATTGTTACTGTCTTCCCGCTGACATCTGTCTAAACAGCATGATTTACAGCTGCTGTAACAAGTGAATTCACACAAACTCTTCGGCTAATGAAATGCTCCTGCAACCAAATCTGAAATGGTGCCCCTGTTGGTGAACTGGTTCACTGAACAATCCGATGTTATGAGATCACATAGGTAACTGGTTGACAGTGAGTTTGTGGCGCAGTGATAAAACACGACTGCTCTGTGTGGGTTTGAATGCCTCAGCAGGGGAGGGCTCAGTCTCTTTGTTTACCATATGGAGAGGCTTTCATAAGGAACACATGCCGCAATTAGAGTAAAATGTGACACCGGGGTGTGCATTAGCCATGTTTCCAGTCTACTCTGTGTGATTTCTGCCTTCTGTCTTTCAGAATTGGTTGGACCCCTCCAAGGAGATCAAGAAGCAGATGCGCAGTGAGTGTCTTTTCCAAGTAGCTGTAGTGGATTAATATTTTAAAATTCAATTAGCAGAGACATAAAACTAGCTTTGTTGCTCATTGTACTTGGAGTTGTCAGCTAAATTGCTAAGAAGAGCTCCAAAACTGCCTTCTAATGAACACTTTTTCCCGTTATACTGGATGTGTTTAAGCTTCCTGCTCTCAATACAATCTCTCACCAGACTCTCCGTGGCACTTTGCCTTCGCTGTCAAGTTCTACCCTCCTGACCCCTCCCAGCTCATGGAAGATATTACCAGGTAGAGTGCTGACACACACTTCTACTACATCTCCAGTCATAATTCCTCTGGCTGTGCTGTCAGGTGCTCCTCAGAATTATTCAAAGGATAAATCGCTAACACGTGTCAGCAGTACAGATAATTTCCTTTTTTATATATTCCCACTGATGGATGTTTACATAAACACATTGTAACAATTCTCATGGCATATTTGCCCCAGTGTCAGAGCAGCCCAAATCCCTCTCTTCTTTTGAAGGATTAGCCCTGGAATGCTACTAACTGCCATGGATTAACTAGGCTGAATACTTGTTGGAGCTTGCATTGGCTCGGGCTTGTTTGACTGCCAACACTCCTTCCTCTCCTCCCCTTTTTCGTCTCATCTGACAGATACTACCTGTGTCTGCAGCTGAGGGATGACATGCTGTCAGGTCGCCTGCCGTGCTCGTTCGTCACTCACGCCCTCCTGGGCTCCTACACCGTTCAGGCCGAGCTGGGAGACTACGACCAGGATGACCACGGCACCGACTACGTCAGCGATTTCCGCTTTGCTCCCAATCAGACGCGCGAGCTGGAGGAGAGGGTGATGGAGCTCCATCGAAACTACAAGTACATGACACGCTGTTGTTTAAATCAGACCTTTGTGTATCCACAAGTGTCTTAGGGTGATCATCTGATGAGTTTTCAGTTGCATCAAAAACACTTCATCATGCACATTGGTGATAGATGCCGTCCGTCACTGAAATGTACACAGTGTGAATCTTGCCAGTGTGACAATACTTCTCAATTCACATGGCGATGCTGTGGCACTGCTTTTTGGCATTCTCCCAAATGAAGTACTTGATGGGAGGAACTTAGAAGAGAATATATCAAGCATGTTCGAATACTGCTCCCGCTGTTCACCATTCTGGATCTTTTATTTAAGAAAGTCTGCTACAGTATTGTTATTATTCTGCTCTTATTCTAGGGGGATGACTCCAGCAGAGGCTGAAATGAACTTCTTGGAGAACGCAAAGAAATTGTCCATGTACGGAGTCGACCTCCATCATGCTAAGGTTGGCTATTCTGGCGTTTTTTGATTTTCAGGTGTGATGAATGCACTCCTGAATAATTTCTGTCTGTGTTTGCTGCAGGATTCTGAGGGGATTGAAATAATGCTTGGTGTCTGTGCCAATGGCCTGCTGATTTACCGTGACAGGCTGAGGATCAACCGCTTTGCCTGGCCAAAGATCCTTAAGATTTCATACAAGAGGAGCAACTTCTACATCAAGATAAGACCTGGAGAAGTACGCATTATGGTTAAGGACCAGGAGGGTCAAACATAAAGCCCAGGGGCCAGAATTGGCCCGGCGAAAGACTCCAATCCGGCCCTTTCCAGGGCTTTGGAAAAACTTTTTCCAAAGTTTTGCAGCTTTTTCAAATGAAAAATGTCTTTAAACTAACAGAAAGAGAAATTTCACTCCTTTGGCCCACTTAAGATCAAAGTAGGCTGTATCTGGCCCACAATCTAAAATGAGTATGAGTATGACATGCCTGAACTAGTCTGTTTATACAACAATCAAAGGAAATGGGGCTCTTGGTTTTTAGGATCTTGGTGCACTCTTAGAACAATAAATCTTCATACAAATGTGTGCATAACCAAAGGGAAATGTGAGCCTCAATTTTAAGAATTTCCTTGCTACAGCCACCATTGTGCTAGCTTTAAGTAACACAAGGACTGGAAGTATAGTTTTGTACATTTCCATAGTCTCTACCGGTTGCCTGACCCGCCCCATAAGGCCACTACAGGGCGTTTGTGCACCTGTAGCTTATGAAATAAAGAACTTAAATTCGAGAGCTTTTGAGGTGTTAGTAGATGGACGTGCCTGGCCACAATGGCAGCACCCATTTGTCAGTAAAATCCCATTGGGTGTCACTATCTTGGTGTTTTAATGAGCGAGGAGGTGATCTGGCTGACACGGCATGCTCAGATGGTAGCAGCTGCTACCCTAGTACTACCATACAGCTTTAATGATGACCAGAATTATTCAAATCTACATGCTGACAACTACAGATCAAGTCCATAAACTTAGTTATGACCAAGTTTATGGACTATGACCTTGTATGAGCTGAGTTATGCCCATATTTTATATACAGCATGTAAGATATTTGAAATCAGGCTGGTTATTGTTTCCTTTATGTATATATATATATATATAAAGGAGTCATAAAGGAAACAATAACCAGCCTGAACACACACACACTAAACACAGCCTTATACCTCTATTATAAGGGTCTCTATTTTGGCCCTCGCCATTGTGCTGCAGCTTATCCTCCATGCTGAGCCTCAAAGTGTCAGGCTGTCTGGGCGAGACCCAGTCAAGTGACAGAGCTGCACAGTGAGCCTGTGATAGAGCCAAAGAAAGAAGTCTTTTAACAGAGCTGCTGCAGCTGCAGCCACAGTCAGAACAGAGGGATAAAGAGTGTAAATATAGAGCCATGAAGTTGTTTTCCACTCATTTGCTCCCAGCCTCTGAACACTGCATGTTATCCTTCCTGCCTCTGACCTGCTGCCTTCTGTCCAGTCTGCAGAATATATGTAAATAATAAGGTAGCTTATACAGTATATTGACATAAGTTTGGTGCCAGCAGTTTTTTGCAAGCACAAAACAAGGACTGTTTTTATTGATTGGCTCCAGTGATCATTCAGATATGAGATGCTGTATATTTATAGATTTTTAGGACTCTCTCTAAATGTTCGTCCAACAAATTGATGCGCCCTTCAGCAAAACAGAGTAAACATACCTGGTGGTGTTTTCAGCTCTCACCTTCTCTGTCTCTCCATATTTTCTCTCCCTTCTAGTATGAACAGTTTGAAAGTACAATTGGTTTTAAGCTCCCCAACCACAGAGCTGCCAAGAGGCTGTGGAAGGTCTGCATCGAGCATCACACCTTCTTCCGGTAAGAATCGATCCGCTCTCATGGTTGGAGGGTTTTTCGTTCGATGGCCATCAAAGCAAACCGAACACTTCCCTGTGTACAGCTTCATTAGGCACAGTCGCTCGGGCTACTGCCATGGTCACCGTGGCTTTGCTAGTAAACTTAACTTATATACTGATTTAGCATTACAGAGGTCACACATGTATGAACTGCATGATACAGCTCTCTATGTGATAGCACGCAGTTACAATTGCATGTACGTATTATAGAGTGATAAAGGAGAAGTCTAGCTTTACCCTAAAGGTCAAGCTAGTTTACAGTAACAGTCACCACAAGGCACTTTATATTGTAAGGTAAGGCCCTGAGATATTAAAGGGAAAACCTCCAAGATTCAACAGTTAAGCACACACTTGGTGTCTGTGGGAAGAAAGAACTGCTTTTTAACAGGAAAACATCTCTGGCAGCCATCTGCTGTGGCCAGTTGGGTGGAGAGAGGAAAGAAAATAGTAGAACTCTTCCTGGTCAGCAATTGTTGTATTGTAATGGTTTCATTAGAACAGGCAAATATAGATCAACAAATATGGATCAACAATGGACCAGAGTTTATGAAAGGTGTGAATAAATCTTTCTGTGAACAAATAAATGGAACCATTTCAATCCATGGGAAGCTTGAATCTGTGAATTTGAAGCTGAAAACATGATGCACATTTATTTAAGTTGGACTTGAAATAATTTATTCAGCTATTAGTAATCCACATATCTCTGTATTTTGCCTTTGAGAGATCCAGATTGCTTGCTTATCACAGTCTGTTTCACAGGCTGGTATCTCCTGAGCCTCCTCCTAAGGGATTCTTGGTGATGGGTTCAAAGTTTCGATACAGCGGAAGGACGCAGGCTCAAACCAGGCAGGCCAGTGCTCTCATAGACCGGCCTGCTCCTCACTTCGAGCGGTCGACCAGTAAGAGGTATCTGCTTTCCCGGAGCTTGGATGGAGGTGAGCAGTGCAGCATGAAGGCTTCTCAGGGAGGAAAAGCTAGCTTCACTTTGCTCAAAGAGTAGTGTTGTAAATCACACTGTTTTTACCTTTGAACAGCATGTGAAGCTAAACTGAGTTAAGCCAAAGACAACCTTTTCTCATCATCTGTGGAAGAAAGTAAATTAAGTGTCCTTCCCAGAATATCCAACGCTTCTCATGTGTCTGACCAACAGAGTTCTCACGGCCGGTATCAGCCATGTGCGAGAACCACGACGGCCTTTCTCACCGCAGCATCAGTGAACACCGACGGCTGCACAGCCCCTCCGGGGACGAGCAGGAAACAGAGCTGGAGCCAAGTTTGGAACAGGACGAAGAGGAGAAGGAGCACGAGCAGGGCCGGGAGGCGGAGCAGGACAAAGACCATGACGGCAACGTGTCTCCAAGCAGAAAAAAAGAGATCATGGTAATAAAGACCTCCCGATGGAGCTTTAATGAGTTTCCAATGACAGAAGGGCTAAACGCACACTTTTAGTCACCTTGCCCACAACTCTGGCTTAAGTGCAGGGAGGCGATGATGTAAAGAGGTGCAGTGCAAGCGTCTCAGTCCAGCTGAGGTTTATCCAGCAGGGGCATAATGCTGTGGCAGCTTTGCTGGATTTAGCATTCACTAACTCTTCTCCTTTCACTCAGGCTTACATGCTTACTCTGCACTGCTCATAAATCCTGCTAACGGCTTTACAGTTTTTAACCCTTTCTCATTATGCTGACAAATGCAGACCCGAGCCGTGCCTCTGTTTACTAACATGCTTTTTCTATTTTTAAACTCCTGCTGGCGAGAAGGAGGAGGCCGGGTCACCAATTGACAGTAAACAGGAGGTATTTGGTGTCTGGTGATTTGGTCTCTGTCTGTCTGTCTGTATGCTGTCTTTATTATAAATACTGTGTCTGTTAATTGTTCCTCGCCCTCTCTGCATATCTCCCACTGGGTTTTGTCTCTGTACCTGTGGCTGTCATCACTGACAAACAAAAAAAGCTATACTGCATTGCACCACATTAACAAGTGATCCAAAGGCTGTAGTGGCCTTTAAGGAACGGTTTGGCATCCCAGCAAACATTTGAAAGACACTGATGGTCAGAATTAGGTGTAAAGGTTCACTTAAGATTTAGATATGGCTGTAATGCTTATAGTTTTATTAAATGTTCAAAATTTACTGGGATGGCTTTATTTTCTCATTTCAGAATCTGTCTCAGCATGATACGTGTATCTGATAGCTAAATCTTTGCTTTCTGTCTGCCTGCTTGTCCTCTCACCGGCTTACCGCCTTGTGTCTGCATCTGACCTTGTTCCTGCACTCTCTTGCCCCGCACCCTTCACCTTTGACCCCCTCTCTTGCTCGCCCATTGTCCTGCAACCAACTCAGCTCTCTCAGTTGGACCAGGAGACTACTCCTCGGCACAAACAGGAGGTACAGGTTCTTGGATTTTGGCTCTTGTGCTTCTTGTCGTGTGCGCCTTTAATAGACTGAGGTTTGCCCGCATCTTTTCAGTCAGTTTATATTTGATTTATTTATATATTTTAAAAGGTATTTGAAACATCCAGCAACAAATCTCTAGCACTGCTTTCAGAGATAGACGTGAGCTTCTCCCCATCCTTAAGTGCCTGTAATGCAGCATCGGTGCATTCTTCTCTGGGAAAAGCACTCAGATGCTTGACTTAAGTGAATGTGCTGGTACAAGTTCTCCATTTTTAGGTTGTATTACAAGTTCTTCATTCAAAGCTCTACTTTAAGCACAGTAACATCCACTGAAAACATCAACAACACTTCATATTGTAAAATGCTGCTGTATTCTGACACCTATCAGAACCAGCATGAACTTTTTCAGCAGTATGAGCTATAGTAGCTCGTCTGTTGACAGCCTTTGACCCCACGTGCATCGATGAGCCTTAGCCGCCCATCGCCTTTATCGTTTCACCATCACTTTTGATAGATACTGAGCTCTGTAGGCCAGGAACACCCTACTATAGCTGCGTTTAGACATCCTCTCACGCAGTGGTGTGTCCATCACAGTTTAAAGGTCATCAAACTTGCTCAGATCCTGACCCTTGCCTGTTTTTCTTGCTTCTAAAGCACCAAAGGATAAAATGCTAATTTGCTCCCTAAAATATCCCACCCATTAACAGGTGACAGGATTAAAAGATAATAAGTGTTATCCACTTCACCTGTCACCGTTTATAATGTTATGATTGGTGCAGTTATATCTGTAGGGGGCATTTATCAGATAAATATTTACCTGTTATACTGTTAGTGGAACTGAAAAGCTCAAAGAGGGGATGTTGCACTAGAAGCAGTATAAGTTCCTGTTCTGAACAGCCGTTTCTTCAGGTGAACTGCAGAATACTGTTTATGCAGGTGAAGGAATATGGGTTTTGTTTTGTTTCCTGTAGCTGTTGTCCAATCTTCCAAAAAGAGAGCTTTCTGAGTTTTGATTAGCGAACGGCATTAATTGATTATTCATATTCATTTTGTCTTGCATCCTCTTTGCAGTGCGTGCCTTGATTGTTGTGCTCATTCGTGTTTTGAAAGCTAATTCTGTCGTAACTTATTGAAGCCATGCTGTAGCTTCAATAAGCATCTTAAATGTCAGTGAACACCAGCACAAAGGACCAAAATGTTAGCGGAATCTCTAACTGGCATAAATGCGAGCAGTTTGCGTGGCCTCCTGTGTACATGAAGTATTACCTCACAACGTTCCCATACATGCCATACAAGTCTCAGGTGTTCATGACAGACTGATGGACTGTTATCTTCTGCTCTTCTCTAGTTTCTGGATAAGTCGCAGGACGTCTTGCTGAAGCACCAGGCCAGCATCAATGAGCTAAAGAGAGCCTTGAGGGAGCCCAACAGCAAGCTGATGAACCGCGAGAAGCGTCTGTCAGCGACCTCCCCAACCGGCACACCGGAGAAGAAGGCTGTGAGTGGGGGATGAGGGTAGGGGAGCTGTGGAGGGCTTTCAGGTCCATTATGGCCAATATCTCAAATCTAGCGACCTCTAAAACTTGACATTCCATTAAAGGCCATCGATATTCCCGTGTGCCAGTGTCCTCTTTCCACTTCTCGCTCTCGTGCTCGTTATGCAGGTTTTTAACTGCTTCATTAGCCTAAAGAGATACTGCACGGTCATATGATTTAAAGAAACATAGTGATTGAGCGTGATTGTTGAAGATAGATTCTGTTTTCCCTGCAGGCATTTCAAACAGGTGTCTCCGATATCATGGCAGTCGGAAACAAACATACAAATCCCCTGTTTATTTTAGGACAGCCGTGTAATGAATTGCTTTCTACCTTTTCTCTGGAATACCAGGATAATTCTCTAAATATCTCCGAGGTGCTTGAAGATGACTGACAAGTAGCACACAAGGAAACATCTTGAAGAGATTAGATCCGAGATGTTTTTGAGATTTTCTCAATGCGAGGCACTCGAGAACTAATCATCAGTCGTTTTTTTCTCCCCTGATTGCCTAACAGTTAGATCGTTTTCTTTATGCTAGATCACAAAATCTCTCAAGCTTTGATGGTATTGTGGTAATAGGGCTTTTAAAGATGAGATTGGCCTCTTCAGATAGGATAGTGTTTGCTGGTGCCTAAGTTGCCTTCAGACAATCTCTCATCTGCTGTCTGCCACAATCAGATTATAACCACAGAATGTCAAATGTTGTCTGTGGCAGAAAATGTAATCTGCTGTGTGCTTCATTCCAGAGGTCGGGGTTGTTTCTGTTTGAGTGACATTCGAAAGCTGGGAAAGTCTTGCTGCTCTTTACTGTTTCCAAGAGATTTAGTGAAACTCAGCTCTTTGATGTTGTTGCAGAATAAAAAAAAAATCTTTTTGCATTGCAAATGCCTCCAGATTTGCTTATGTGGATTTGGTGGCTGTCAGGTACATGGAGCTGCATGATTTTAGTTTGAAGTTCATTAAAAAGTTTCTGCTAGAACAACTCGCTTGTATCCTGTTAACACTGATTCTTTCTGCCTTTTGCTTGAAGTTGTGTCTCACAGAATTGCTCTAATGGCTGTTCTTCCTTCTCTCTTTTAAACCCTCTTTTCTGCCTCGTCTCGGTCAGTCGGTGGGCCGGGCAATGGGAAAGGAACCTGTTAACAGCCTGTCTGTTGAGGGTTTCGTCCAGAAGACTCTGGTGACTTCACCCGAGGTTGCACATCTCTCACTCTTTCTCTTTCACTAAGCAGTTTACTGTTTGTAGCATTGGCATGGTGCAGTGCAATTCCTATTATGTACTGCTGTCTTTCCCCACCCAGCAAAAACTTGCTGAAAAGATGACTTTGCTATGACGTATGACAAAAAAATTTGTTTCAATAATAATGTCTGTTACAATTGATATGCATAAAGCCAAAGCAGGAGCACCTTAAAGCTGGATTCTATCTGAAGGCTGCTGGATTATGATAGTTGTAGCTGCAGAAAGACTTGCGGTCCTTTAGAAATAAAAAAAAAGTACCTGTAGTATGAGACCGCATGCGTATTGCATAACGAGCTGTCAATCTCAAGTCAACAGGCAACGAGCGTGCGGTTTCTCAGTCAGCTCTGCCCCATTTTTGTCAAGATGGCAATGGTGGAAAAGCTCATCTTGAGTCTTCCTAACTGGACTTTGCCAACCAACATCACGGTTGCTACATCTATCCTTTATACTGTCTGGACTGTAATAGCGCCTAAACATTGTGCCCTAAAACACAGAGCAGGACTGAGGAGCAGTCCACAAAGAAACATTAGACTAGTCTGTAGAGTTAGACGTGTCTTCATTTTACTCACAGTTAGTCTATCGTAAGTTTGACTGTTTCAGAAAAATAAATACCGAGTCATTTACAGCCACAAAAAACGACCCCCTGTCGGACTCGAGCCTCTTACTGATGTTGCCCTGGTAACAATCAGCAACACCTGCTCTGACTAGTGGCACTCAAAAAGGAAAGAAGGGCTTATATTTTGTACTAATGCTATCATGGTGTTAGAGTCTGTAATGACTCACTGGCAATATAAAGCCAGTGAGTTTGCCCTATTCAACTATCCTAGTCTGACTTAGACTTAGCAAAGGCACTGAGCCTTTAGAAGTTATTGTATCCAAGCTATGGTGCGGGTGTTTTATGCTACACTCACTAGAGTTTTGTGTTTCATAAAGTTTTATTTTTAATTTTTGCCACACTTCTAAAAACGGCCTTGTTTATGTTAAATTCCTCCAAAGTCCCTCAGTCAGCCATTTTTTTACTCCTTTGAAAAAAGTCTAAATTTGCCCAGAATTAGTTGTTAAACATAAAAAAACGACTAAACTCGTTTGTTCAGCTAATAAATGTGATGTTTTGTAGATTTAGTGGGAGTATATCAAAAGATGAGGCTTTTCAACAGCCTGAAAGACAATTTGTAGCAACATCTGATAAGTTTGTCTTTTTAAATGAATATTATTGTTATTACTTTACATCTTTTCAACAGGTTTCTGCAGTGTCTGATGTGAGTCTATCAGGGTTACATGTGATCCCAATGGGAGATCCATTTTGGACTAAATTTAGACTAAATCAAATTAAACTCAGCGCAATTTCAATGACTGTTTTTGGGTTAAATAAATGTCAAGACCAGCTGACCCGATTCAGCACAAAGGTCTGCCCATGGTGCTCGGGTGGTGATTTGTTTACCGTTTTAAAGAAATGCATATTGAATAGGTAATACCAATGTTCACTATAACTCCAATATGTACATTTTGGGCCCTTTTCTTGGATTGAAGTCCTTGTCTAGATTTGATTGTTTGCAGTAGCTGTGCTTGTCTAACTGTGTTTAATCTATACCAACATGTAGGGCTCTGAGGAGTGGGTATTGATTGAAAAACAAGAACCTTATCAACAAGACCATGACTGGAAGGCAGAAGAAAAGAACAAATCTCTCACACCTGATTCCTCATGGGAGAAAAAGGGTCTGGAAAAAGAGATAGACGTTAGCAAGATGATGCATAAGGAGGTAGCAGGGTATGACAGAAAAGAAATGAAAAGCCATATTGATGAGTTTCCATCAACAAAATCGTCCAGAGAGGCAGATGTATGCTCTGAGCCTCGACGTTTTGTGATCCAATTATCTGAGAATGCCGACTCGTTTCAAGACAAATCTCAAAGCAAACCAGCTCGAGCCTCAGACCCTGAGGCGAACAGCGATGCAGCCCCGGGCTTGAGGCACATGAAGGAGCGCACGGCTTCTAAACCGAGGAAAAAGAGGAGACCCCAGAGCTTAAACCTGGGAATGCCCACAGAGCTCGTCTACAGGAAAGGAGGAAGCGATTCCACCGAAGATGAAAACGAGGGCTCGGACTCAGACAACAACTCAGAAACAGCACCGAAGAGAGGAAATCATTGCGAGTCGCCCCCAGTCGCAACGATGAAAGATGATCAGGGTTTAGAAAAGGATCAGCTGGTCAGGGTCTATAAAGACGGCAAACAAGAGGGTAAATTAGTTGGAGAAAGCAGGGAGGTCTCCACCCAAGGAGCAGAGCAGGTAAAGAAAAAAGTGAGCCTTGTTGGGACAGCAGATGTCGATTTAGGCTCAGTGAATGGACCTGGAAAAATAGAGCATGATGGCTCATTCTCAGGGTCTAAAGGAGAGTGTGTGCTGAAGATGCGAGGGAAAGGCTTCATTGACAACAAAGAGTTAGCAGAGGTTAAACTACGACAGGTCAGGACACATGAACGGAAGGTCAGTAGCTCTGGAGGAGAGGATGTTGAGGGTTTCTTGGGCGACAGAGGTCAGAGGACGTCTCTCCACCGACTGTCAGGCAGCAGCTACCAGTCGGAACTAACCAGGATTGTTCCTCTCAAGCCGGAGCGTTCGAAGAGCGTCACGTCCAAGGACGAAAGGGACCATACGGGACAGGACGATCCAAGACGGGGGATCAGAAGAGAATACCGGTGGTCGGTTGGCTCTCCGGAGGGATCCTCAGACCTCAGCTGGACCGACGGTTCCAACTTTCATCCAGCGTTCGCGTCAGATCTGGAGGGCGTTGCTAAAATCGAGCATCCAGATGATAGCTTTCAGTGTGGTAGAGTGTTCGCGGAGAGCCAGTCGTTCAGCTCAAAGGTTTCAGGGCTTCCCAAAATGGCCCCTCCAGCGCCGCCGGTGAAAACACAGAAGGCGAGAGAGTCCGTGCTAATACTCCGGAACAGCAGAAACGCCAGCAGGGAGCCGAGCCTGGACGCGGCCAAAAAGAGACACTCGGTAACTCCTCTTGGCATCTGCTATTCAGTCATTGGAAACAAAGCATGAGCTTCAGACAGACTTCAGCATGAGCACGCCATTATTCTTTTTTCTACGTTTTCAATGACTTGAAACACTCATCCATCTTGCCTTGTTCGTGCCTGCATGAAGAGCAGGCGGAGCCGTACCTCTGCTCTGTCTTGTGGCAGTCAAAGTGTGGACATTTTCCCATAAGGCAGTCCAGTTTATCCCCCCCTCCCATTGCCTTTTGACATGCACCACACTGTCTGGCAAATCTGTACAGCTCAACACTGGCTGTGAAAGTTTAAACACACACACACGCAAAAAAAAAAAGTCATGTTTCGGTGTTTTGGTTCATCTTTTTCAGCTGCTGAACCTGAAATTTCCTCCCAGCTCACATTGTTCTCTGTCAGAGGGCAGCAGACTCACATATTACCGCCGCTCCGATGATTTATCCTCATCTCCATGTCATTTCCAAGCTGGAAATACAAAATAAACGATTTATTGCATATGAACGTTAGAAATTAAATCACTCATTTGTGAAAGGAGAGCGTGGGGGTGTACTGTCATCCATTACTTTGTTAGAGAGCTAATATCTTCCAAAATTAGAGATAAATGGAGTATAGAATTGGTTTGTGCGCAAAAGATTGAGGAACCACATCAAACTGATAACCCTTAAAAAAAACTACTCGGAATTTACAAACTGTCGCTGGATCCGTCACATGGGTGGTAATAAATCAGAAATCATGCGTTGCATTATTTCCATTTACCCTCACCTGGATTGAAAGCCCAGCGGTGTTCTAAACACACCAGTTCCTCCAACTGTGAAAGCCCAGCAGGCAGCAAGCAAACAGACACCACAGCTCAGTGCCTGACACAGTCAGATTTGCTGCTTTCATTTCACTGTTGGTATCATTGGGAGCTTGCACGTGTTTGGCACCGGAATGAAAGGAATTTGGAGTGAATAGACATGACAGCTTTCATCATTCCCCACCTTTTCATCTGAGTCAAGCTCTTGCATATATTGGATTAAACAGGCATGAGGAGAGAGGTGTTGCGTAGCTCTCAGTGTGCGAACAGACCTCACTGGCGAGTGACAATCACATTAAGATCTGATTGAAGTGGGAGAGGGGGGGGGCTGGGAAAATATTAAGGTGCTCCTCCAAACACGTGGACCCACTCTCCCAGTCATTTTGACAGGTTTTGAAATGCATCGTGGCACCTTTTTTTTTAAATTTTTTTAATCAGAAATGTAACAACATCATTTGACTGTATTTGTGTTTAAATTCACGGTGAACCATTGCAACACTTTCTCAGTTAGTGGATGAGTGGCTGCTCTTACTACCAGAAACCTGCTCGTTATACAAAGTGCATGATTTTCTTGCCCTGCCTCTGCTAACTACAACAAATGGCTGTAGATATCGTGGTTGCTTTTCTGTCCTCTAAACTTCTACTGCTGTTTGCTTTTGTCACTGTAGAGCAGTCCTTGAAATTTGTGCTGGTATCCATTCTGAACCTGACTGGATCTGACTGGTCAGAACCAGCGGGCTTGAATTGGGTCTGGCTGAATTTCTCACCTAAACTTGGGTTTGAGTTAATAGCACAAACTTACTAGTGTGTTTGTGTTTTGTATTTACATTTGGACCCTTCAGGATCCCAGTTTAGGTTTACGCTGCAATATTTTGTGCACAGAACCCCACTGGGCTCATATCTTCAGACCCCAGTCAATCACTGCTGTGTCAGTCAGTCCACACTCCACTCCAGCTTGTGCTAACCCTGAGATCCTCTCTCTGCTCTTTCCTCTGCTTCCCTCTGCAGGAGCCTGTCTCTACTCCTGCTATATATGAAGAGCCATTTGCTGACTTCAAGGTTATTCATTTGTATTTGAACCGACCCTTCATATCCTCTGTCCATTTTTCTCTTTTCCTCCCTTGATGCATGTCTCATAGCTGACTGCAGCTTTTACTACCTGTTATCAATGTATGTGACGTTCAAGTTGCTACTTTTACCAAAACAAGAGTGAGTCTGTAAGTGGATTGTCAGAGCTTTGGATACAAGAAAAGTTGTGTGTTTATATTAGCAGAAGACTAGCTGTTGCATTGCTATTGTTAGTAAGCTAGCTGTTTAAGGAAACATATTGTAGCTAGTTTATTAGGTAGCTAGGTAGTTGGAGCTAGATGGAATATGCACACCATTATGTCTGAAGCCAGGTTGGGTTTTTTTGGAGTTAGGTCCAGCCCTCATCACATTCACTGTCAAAACGTCAAGGATGCAATGGCAAAAAACTTTCCTCTCAGGGTCTTCAACAGGAATTTGCAAACTAATGGATAATGGCTAGCTTGAGTAGCAAGTTGCTTCCATAACACCGATGATTCCCATTTCTTGCCATCTCCATTCAAAACATTGTAGCTGTGCGATGCCAGAGTTTTGATCCTGTGTCTGTACCTGCACCAGAAGGAGTTTGGGGAGAGGAGGCCTCAGCCGAGCATAGCCTCGGAGGAGGAGCAGGAACGAGACACCGTGGCATGCATGAAGGAAACCCACCTGGGCATCGAACGCAAGTGTTCCAGCATGACGGTCAGCTCCACGTCCAGCCTGGAGGCCGAGGTCGACTTCACTGTCATCACTGACCTCCACTCGGGCCTCGAGGACTTTTCTAAGGGTGTGCCCGAACTGGGAGAGAGGGAGCGACAGCCTGAGGTGGGCCGGGAGGACTTTGAGGAGACCTCCAGGTTCTACTCTGCCCGTCTAATGGGCTCCCGGGACAAGTCTCCCATAGAGGAGAGGCTTCCTGAGGAGGGAATGCATCATGAGGTAGACAGATGAACGCATTTATACGTATTCATCGCCATCATCACCCACTGGCTTCACCCTGCCTGGCTGGACTTCAGTAGCCCCCTGCTGTATTTTTTATTTATTTTTGGACCATGATGTGTTCCTTAAATTTTGTTGATTCCTTATTGTGTTCAGTTTTTGTTCTACTCATTCTTATGTATTAATTGTAATTCACCCATTTTATTTTTGTTGGTGTTTCTTTGAATTTATTGCACCTCTTGCACGTTGTCATCCAGACTAATAAAAATGCATTTCACAGTTTGTTCCTGTAAGTTAACATCGCTCGGTTGCTTTCTTTTGTTTAATATGCTGCTTACAAGAATGGGTCTGAAGTCTTCAGGCGACTTGCTGTGAGCAAATCGCTTGCTGCTCTTTGACTGTATTGTACTGTTTGTGTTTGATGCAGCCTCCCGTGGCAAAGAAAGACCCCAACACGGTGAGCGTGGCCCACAAGCTGAAAAGAGCCGACAGCAAGACGGAGACGCACACAAATGGATCGGAAGCCCACGCCAACGTCGTTAATGTCTCTTCACAGGTAAACCGAACGCAAAAGCAGTAGAAACAACAGCACTATAGTCTGTGTGAGGTGTGTGCGTGTGAGCGTTTGAGCCGCCATGTTTCCTGCCAGGTAAATGACGCTCCGCAACGTGGTGACGTCATTCGGGGCGACTGGAATCGATAAGGGAATCGTTTGCAAAAATGACAAACAATTCCAAGGAATTGAAACAGTGGGGACCGGTTCTCAACAAGAACCGGTTTTCGATACCCATCCCTAGTCCTGACTGTGTACAAAGCAGCATAATCCACCGACCTGCACCTCTAAAGTGTAAAAATTAATCTTTGCTTTAAAATGTACAATTTTAGGGTTTGTTTGTTTTTTTACAAGAACCTCCATGCCACTCAGCATGGAAGGTGCTGTTGGCTTTACACGTATTTATTTGCACAGCTTTAACTTACAACATGTTAGATACTGGGCTTTGGATGTGCCTGAACGCTCTAGACTGAGCTTGGCTTGCTATCTATTCCTCTAACTCATCAACAAGATGAAGATTTGTTTTCCCAAATTGACAAAGTATTTACTTTTTTTAACTTCTTTAGGAAATGTTGGGTTGAATATGATGAGTGCTTTAAATACTTATAGGTGAGTGCTAAAGAATTAGGGCTACGGGACTGGCAGAAAGAGGAAATGAGGATCAGTTCCAACAGTCGCCATCAAAGTGACTCGCGATTAAGAATTTCTTATTTGTACAGAGCTTGATTAGAGGAAAAAGCGTCTTCTTTGAGCTGCAGTGACATGATGGCCATATTCCCCAGACACGGATGGAATAATAGCATCATTATGAAGTGATTAAAGTATTGACAGTGTATTAATGAGGATGATGAAAGCAGGTGCGAATCCCATTCATCTCCGGAGGCAGAGATTTGAGTGCCGGCTGGCTGTCCCACAGGAGCCTTATTAAAATGTAATCATTGCTGGGCTCTTTAGCCATTCAGCTAATAGTGTGGATGAACTCAGGCGATGATGTAGAGAGGGTGCCTTTGAAGTGCCACATCAGCGTTGAGTCACATTTTCAAAGATGTCAGAGAAAGCCACAGTACAGAGTGTGCATGTATGCGTCTCAGGCAAACTGACGTCATTCGTGGGCAGACACAGATCCTCAGCAGTGACACTGCACAGCCAGCAGAGGGAGACATGCTTTGTCTGTTGAGCTTGGGTTCTAAACAAAAGCACAAAGGCTCAGCAGCTGCTCCGTTCCAGCTGTCTGCAAAGCACCCACACTGTAGGACAATTTATTTTGCTTTCACAAACAATTCATCACGTATAGTTATGAAAATACACCAGCAGCCTCTTTAAAGCAGAACAATAATGGAAATGAATGACACACAAAAACAATTTTAAAGGAATAAAAACAAATCAGGCAAATGCAAAACTTTGGATATAAAGCTATAGTTAGGACACCATCAAAAAGTAAATCTCACATTCCAGTTTAGTACCAATTACTAAACCTTGATGTGACTAAGCTTATCTAATCTGACGTTCTCTCTGCTACTGCAGTGCCATAATGACAAAATCTAGAGAAATTGGTTAATTGTGGGTGCCCATGAGTCTCATTAGGGATATAAAAAGATTTAAAATATATATAAATGAATTATTTAAGTGTAAAAAAAACTCCTGCTGGTGGGTTATACTTCCATTCCAGTAAATTACACCAAAGAGGAGACTGTTTTCTGAGTAAACTCTTGGTTTATGAGTCTGCTGTTACAAACAGGGTGTATATACACTCACACTTTAATAGGTACACCTCTTCCACTGCTTGCTGATGCATAATAATAAAAATAATCAGCCAATCACGTAGCAGCAACTACAAATTTGACAAGGTTAGCATCTTGACTGTCTAGTAATTTAAGTGACTCTGAATGTGGCATGGTTGTTGAGTATTTCAGAAACTATTGATCTGCTTAGATTTTCCTGCACCACCATCCTTTGGGTTTACCGGGAAAGGTCCAAAAGAGAGTAACTATCCAATAAACGGCAGTTCTCTACACAAAGTCCTTCAAAGCAAGGTGTGCAGAAGTGTGTCTCTGAATGCACAACACATCAAACCTTGAAGAAGATCACACCAAGCGCCACTCTAATCGGCTAACAACAGGAAACTACATTTTCTAAAGGCTCACTAAAACTGGACACTGGAAAAACTGGAAGAGTGTTGCTGGTCTGCAGGTCTGCAACATTTGCATGGCAGGGTCATAATTGAGTGTAAACCACACGAAAGCATGGATACAACCTGCCTTGTATGAATAGTTGCTGCTGGTGGTGTGATGGCTACCGGAGTATTTTTGCTGGCCATGTCCACATCTTCTGATGGCTGCATTTCAGCAGGATAGTGCACCATGCACACCAACATGACTTCATCATGAGTCTGTTGTACTCAAATGCCCTCCACAGTCACATGATCTCAATCCCATGGAACACCTTCGCGATGTGGTGGAACAGGAAGTCAAGGACATGCAGCTACTGGATGATGCTGGCATGTAAATCTCTGAGGAATGTTTCTAGCACTTTCTGCGGCACAAAGAATTATTCAACGCGACTGGGAGGTTCCTGGGGAAAATGTGTTTGCTGTTCTTTTTGAACAATCTGCTGGATAAAGGAATCAAATTTCGGTTTTTATTTAACCACTTGCTTCTCATGCCATCCAAATATGGTGATGGAAAATATCGTCACTTTGGTGACATCAAGGACTGGGCAGCTAGCATTTAGCTGCTAGCTGATTCATGTCTGCTGGAAGACATTGTAATTTACCTGAGCTGACCTTAAAAAGGAACGAGACCTTTCAGTGAGACAATAATCTTGAACGCACTAGCAATTCTACCAAGAGATGCCCTCGAATGAAGAATGAAAAGCTCGTGAAAAGCTCACTTTGAAGTCCCATTGAACCGTTGTACATTTAATACATTTAATAAAATCCCTCAAATATCTGATTTTGCATAGAAGAGTGAAAAACTTCACCTTTTATACAAAAGTCCTGCACAAAATAGTTATTCTTGCTAAAATGCCAAAGCAATACTTGTTTCTGAGCACACTGCTGTACTTATATTACCTTTACTGTATCCATATGTACTGTTTGAGTACAGGGGTGTACAGAGGTTGGTGTTCTTATTTCGATATATTACCTTGTATATATCCATGATGAAATGGATGCTGTCAGCACAAACACTGTTGACTTGGATTTGATGGAGCAGTAAATCAGTCCTCATCACTTTCTTTAAAGTGAGACTTTTTAACGAGTCAGTGTAGAGATAAACAGAGATAAACAGCAGAACTTCACCAGCAGACACGTGTGATGTGCTTTAGATCGCTTTCACTGTATCTAATGACATAAATAAATAAAGACAGTAAGGCAGCATTAACAGCAGGTCTTTTTGACTCGACAGGAAAAACAGATGAAACAAATTAGAATAAATTGTCCAAACAGCAGTGACACCATGAAGCAGCTCAGCGACGGTGCTCATTATGTTGTTTATAGCCGCTTGTCCTGTTTGACATGCCAAAATGTCTGTTGTGGAGGTCCAGCCCTGGCATTGTCATTAACTGAGGAGCAGCCTTAATTCAGGTTTTTGAATATGACCATTATGTTCCTGCTGTAGTGTGTCAGAATGAACGGCCTCATTTCATCATATGTATGTTGTCTCTATAACAGGGGTGGTTCAAAATGTAAATGTGAAAAATTGAAATGTAAACTCTATGAAAAAGGAAGTAAAATCAAACTCCTCAAAGTGCAATGTTAAATCCACTACAATTAGCAGAGAACAAAACCACACTATTCTATTTTAAATATGCACTAATGCTTCTTTGTGCGATCACAGATCGTATTTAAAAAGCTCATTAAAGACTGTTAATAAGGGCCATTTCCTCTTTTTCAGAACTATGGAGTCGTCAGTCCACAGGAGGCTCCTGCTGCCGTCAAAGAAAATGGCTCTCCTGTAAGTATCTTTGATGAGGAGCAAAGGGACAGTACGTGTGTGTGTGTGTGTGTGTGTGTGTGTGTGTGTGTGTGTGTGCACAGTGAGAAACCCTAGCGATTTGTCCACTGATTTCCTCTCTTCTTGCGTTGAACTTTCATATCCTGTTGAACGACTGTAGAAATGAATAATGTTACACGAGGCAGCTGTTTGCAGGACCACATTCAGATATCTTCACGTGTTTCTTTGTAATATAGTCTGTTGATTCCAACATTTCCATTCTACCAGCAGTGATAGCTGTTTTTTCTTGATGCTCATTATATTTCTGTCCAAGTCAAAGTCCTGAAAATGCTAAACTTAGAGTTTTGCTTGATGTTTTAAATATGTGGCCAAGTACTAAAACAACTGCTCAAGGCTGTATGACCAATCAGCATGTCTCACTTGATGTGATGAAACGAAACATTAGAGTTCATTAATAGAACTAACAGTTGTGTTCATCGTCCCCTTGTCTTTACAAGCCATGCAAGCATATTGTGCAATCTTTTTGTTTATTGGTGTGAAAAATGTGATCAGTGTACTAGTGACGAATTTTCTGGCTCTTATTTTGAAAGTTCAGTTGTTGCTAATCGGTTACCACTGACACATCCCATCTCACGCTTTCTTACCGGTGTGGCTATAGCTAGCAACTTTAAGTTCTGCTCTGGAAATCTAATTGCTGGAGTACCTGCAGCAGGTGCAGCGGCGTTGCAGAGCAGAACAAGGACTGCTGTTGCCAACTGTCATTCAAGACAGTGGAGCTGATTTTTGTTGTTATGCACAGTCCACTATGATGAGACTCACTGGTTTATTAGGCGCAAAGCTACAAAGAATGTACTTCTATGGGAAATCATTACAAGAACAGCTGTTAGTGAAGTTTTTTTTTTATAACGCAGAGAAAGCAAATTGTTGCTGCACACATCAGCATTGTCAGTGGCTTGTATTATTACCAACAGCTGATAAAGAGAGTTTTGTTGACCAGGGCATGTGGTGCACAGAAACTCTGATAACAGTTAACAGATTTCAGATCTTTGATTTAGATCCCAGGAGGCCGAGACCCCCCAAGGCTGGCAGAGCGGTACACGTTGTGTCCGAGCATGTTTTTGCTGTTAGCTTCGTCTATTTGTGTATAACTGCTCTCTAATGACTGTGCTGCAGGTAAAAGCCAGCACCCAGGGGAGAGAGTCTGTTGTGTCCCCGCTGACCATCACTGCTGAGAACGTTACCTCAGCAACCACGACACAAGTTACCAAGGTAACACTTCATGAGTTCCTATGGTTACAGTTTGATGGCCGAAGCATTAGGTCAGCGCCATCACATCTTTGTCTGCGTTACCCGTCCTTATAGATGCATTGGAGTGGAAGATCAAATAGTTTTTATTTTCCTAACTTCTTAACTTCTTAATTAATAACAGGAAACTGTAATTAATATGTTAACAATATATTTTGATAAGGTGATCGACTCTGATAGGCTTTACATGAATACTAATAATACAAATCATTATTCCCTGCAGCTCTATTAGGACTGAATTACTGTTAGACAACATGATTCAGTGTGTTTCCACGTTATCAAGACTTTTAGTGCATAAAGACACATTTAGTTTTAGAGGACACCAGTTTCATATCACTTAACAGTTAAAAAAGTCTCACACTAAATAAACTGAATGGATCTGTGTAAATTGGAAGGAGGACATGGATAAAATAGACTACAGTAACAACACACTGCTGCTTTTTCTTGTGTGTCATTTTATATGATTCATTAAATTTCATTCTTTCTTTATTCAACAGACTGTGAAAGGAGGCTACTCAGAGACCAGGATCGAGAAGAGGATTATAATCACAGGAGATGATGATGTGGACCAACATCAGGTGAGAGACACTGTTCACAGAAACCCTCGCAAAGCAATGTTCGGATGAGAGGGTTACGACACACGCGTTGATGGTTTTTATGTCCCCAGGCACTTGCCATGGCAATCCAAGAGGCAAAGCAGCAGCATCCTGACATGCTGGTGACAAAAGCAGTAGTTATCAGGGAAACAGAGTCGCCTACTGAGGAGCTACAACAGAAAGCAGAGGTAAATATCTCTTGTTACAAGAACTCTGTACTTTTTAAGGATTGCTTCAAGCACTTGACAGGCACAGAGCCTATGCTTAGACTCAAGGTTTTTTGTTGGAAAGTTAACCAAATGATTACAAAACACAGAACAAGTACAGAGGGCCGCCTAGCTGCAAAGCTAATCCAAAGAAATGCAAAACAATTATAAACAGTTGGGAAATGACTGCCGAGAGAAATAAAGCAACTAGACATCAAAATGAGATACAAAATAACTACACAGGAGATAACAGATGATTACAGAGGGATGCCCAATGACAATAACTATATATTAAAAAATTATTGTAAAGATGTAACTGGACTATAGAAGGATGAAAAATGACCTTAAAGAAATGCCAAGTACCTACATAATAATGCAACTACAGATTCAGACCAAATGACCAAGAAGATACAAAGTGGTTTAGACTTGCCAGAGATGCACACACATTACAAAGGAGAAATGAAAACAAAATGATGCAAAACTGTTCCAAATTACTATAGAGAATGAAAAATATGCACAAAAAGATATACAAAGACATAAATTGACTGCTAAATGATGTGCATAATAACCATGAGTAACATAGGGATGCAAAATGTCAACCAACAGAAAGAAAGATATTACATACAGATACAAAACATCTAACTATACAATAAATATTAATTGAGAAGAAAAGAGTAATAAACCCGATGCCTACAAAAGATGCAGAACATTATCCAACAAATGGAACTAGAATAGATGCAAAAAGAAAGCAAAATAGCTCAAATGAGATGAAAATGTACCTCCAGCCTCTTCCAGGAATCACTGTTATCACCTCTGAGTATGTTAACCCTCAGATGATGGAATCTCAGCTTTTCTGGCTCAGCAAACAGGTCAGAGTACTGAGTCCTAAAACAGATAAGGATTAGAGATTCAAACCAGATCAGCTCCACATCCAGTTGGACTGTTATTTGCCAGTTCATCCTGTCTGGGTCTGTTTGGATCTCTTCATAGTGGGTTATTCGGTCCCAACATGATCTGTATTCCTTATGGAAAATGGCCCATCCTCCGAAAACTATACTAAAATATTGCCTGTCCTGTTTTTTATTTTATTTTTTGTTGTTAAATTTGATACTATTATTTAACTCTTGGTATTTATGGCTGTGCTATACAGATAGGAAGGCATCATCTATCAGTGAAGGCTGATATTAGATGAAGTTGTAAATGGTTATACTGGGGAACACTAAAGTAGATTATTTTCTGTCAAACTCATAGATTATTTCTGCCATGACTGGATAAAAATACTTAATAAATGCTATGGTGACTCTTGGTATTGTAGCACCATTGATAATGGTGTTCTTTGTCTACTCATATGGACTGAGGGTGATTGAACTCAGAGCTGATTGAAGTAACACTGATCGGCTGTTCTGGAACCAAAAAAGTCAGTTTGTAAAACGTTCTCCGTGGAAAAAGGGCTCAGCTCTCTGTGGGATGTAGTAAGATACAAAACCATTATAAAGACATCTTAAATGAACAAAAAGGAGAGACGAATCCTACAAAGATGCAAAATTAGTGTATTAATGTAGAGTGACTACACATGGCACAAAAAAATGAGAAGAAAGAGAAGAAAAACAGATTTATGCATGCTCACGAGCACGAAACATCTTTTTATGTATGTGTTGTCATGTGGTTGCAGTCCTGATTGAACATGGTGGCTCCTGAGACGGGGGACAGGAGAGGATCCTCCAGCTGTGTGTCTCCGGCCCCGCCCTGCAGTATGCCACCAACCTGATAAGAGGACTTTCTACCCCACTGTGTACACACCAACACGACAACAGACTGCGTTCCACGAAGCAGTAGACCTCCACTCCTTTCCCTTTAGACGTACCAACTGTGACTGGCCTCTGATCTGACCCGGCTTCCCATCCCGTCCCGGCCGATCCCAGCCCTCCACCCTCTAGTGGAAAGAGGAAAAATCTTCGATTGGAAGATTTCTCACATTTCTTCCATATTATTTAATGTAACATGTTTTGGCTCGTTTGAACCAGTGAGGTGTCACCTCTCACAGTTTGTGTTTAAGGGTCACACGTCTATCCCGTGCTGCTGTTATTATTAGAGAAAAGGAGGGGTGGGAGAAAGTATGGGGACAATGCTGGTAGCATGGGTAGGGATGGGGAGGTGCCAAGTGGCAAGAGCCAGCCTTTTTTGCTTGTTGGCCATCTCCTAGCCATGCCACCTTCAGTATAATCAACTGCTGTCTTATTAGCTTTTTACATTTTTATCTATAGAGGATCTAATTTATGTTCAGTGTTTGCTTGTTTATGAAATATGTATAATATCAGAAGATTATAATCTGCATGATTCAATTAAAAATAGCAGGGGGAATGAAAACAAAACAAAAATACACACATGAATATGTCCGCCTTTGGAAGCCCGGAGAAGTGGGGATGAGGACCGTTGAGAAAGTGTAAAATACATGAGGCCAATGAATGGTGGACAGACTGTACTAACTGTTCAGAGGACAGCTGGAACTGGTCCCAGTCTTCAACACACAAGCATCACTGTCCTCGTCCAGCTTCACTGTTATTGTTTTGCTGTCAGCTCACCACCAACACAAAGAGATGCTGGTCACAGTTTTAGGGTTTTCAGAGGAAATTTTAAATATAAATAATATTCTATTTGTGATATATATTTACTTCTTTTTTCCTTACTTGCTTTACTGACTTCCATTGGGAAACAGAGTTTGTTTGACACTCTTGTGTTTTTGGACATTTCAGCCTTTATGTGTGAACATGCTGTAAATTCTCCCTGACAGAGCTGTAACCAACTGGCTCCAAACTTAGAGCTGGTTTTCCAGATTGTAAAGTTGGGCTGCAAAAAGCCAATGTTGACATCACAGCCACCAGCTGCGATTTACTAATGTTGGCCACGTTTAAAGAGCTTAACAAGCCCAAACTACAAAATCGACGTTAGCAGTATCGTAATAACTGTGCATAAGCGGTGGGATATTTAAAAAATATTAATAGCGTTAGCGATGCACATATTATAACAGCATAAATATTCATGTAATTGCTCTTTTTTGTGTATTTGTACAGTTATAGTTAGACTTTTGTCATCTCTGTACTTTGTACTTTGACTTTCTTTTTTGCAAAAAAATCACTACTCTGATTTAACAGCTATGGTAAAATTTAAACACTAGCATTATTGCTATCATCATTAAATTGTCAAAAACCTTTTTTACTTATTGACATAATATTGCTATCAAGATAATTATGATATGGCGACATGACGACAGTCTTATCTGTCTAGTTTCACGTTTAGACAACTGTGATAATGAACTTGTTAGCATTTAAGCAAACAGCCAGATTAGCACGAATTAGCATTTATTTGTAGCTCTTTTTCTACCAAGCTAATAATTCAAATCCATTCCTTAATCGCTGTCGGCACTCTTATAGTGCTGGTATGATTTGTTTCTTTTTTTTTTTTTCTTCAGGGATTTTGTTTTGCTGTAAAATTCTTCACTATACTAACTTTGCTAACCTACCTGCAGGCTCATGTTTAGACGGTAGCAGCGCGAGGTTTTATTAAAAGCAGTGTAAACCATGCTGTAAAAAGGTGTAAGAGTGAACCAAAACAGTGAGCTGAAAGGGGCTAAAATGCTAAGGAAACTACAGAGTCAGTTTTTTTCTTTTGATTAGCTTTTTATGTAAAACCACTGATCATAGCAGCTCTTTAAATAGCGACTGGTTCTTGGATTGTGTGCATGTTTGCAGACACAGCCTGAAGAGTTCAAGACACAAGATTAACAAGGGTACTTTTTCTCTCTCATTTTTTTGTTTTGTTTTCAGGTTAACCTTTTGAAGTTGTGGTTTATGAGTTTGTATTTATAGGAGTGGTCGGCTCCTCCCTGTTTCACATCACAGACGAAGCGTATAGTATGTCATGCGTTAAGTGGCCTCCACCCACACAGCGTGCTGGTTGTCTCATATTGTATATCCGTCGATTCTGGGTGACCTTTAATACTATACTATGCATCAGCTATCAAACATACAAATCCCTCTAATGGAGCCCGACCCGTGTTAGCCTGTGTCCCCGCTGTCACTGTTAACTTTTCGTGCTACTGTTACCTGAAGCAGTGACGCGCACTGCTTGTGAGATTTGCAATAAGCAGACATTCTTCTTATTCTGTGTCCTCTAAAGGGAGAAAACTGTGAACTGTCGTGTGTATCAAAGCGTAACCAAAACCAACAACACGGAGTTGTAAAATGACATTCGAAGGAATCTTTCCAACACTTGTGACCATGGCTTTGTTGCCCTCTTCATCTAATCCTCCCTTTGCCCTGATTTGAACCTGTTGACCTGCTGTTGGTGGTGTCTGTGGAAAACAGGAGAAAACTGATGATTTGTATATTCTGTTTTGCTCTGTTTTATTTTACCTGGTCATATGACACTGGACTGTTGAGAAGGCACTTGCTTGCAATGATTTGCAGCACATGTACTGTAACCTGCTGGGGGGAAAAGCCTGTCTTTGCTGTAGGTTTGGACACACTACTGATGGAAAAGAACAACTGTAGGCATCGGGAGAGAAGCTGTGTAATGAGGTGGCGAGTTGGAGGATGGAGGACCTGTATTTATATATAAATATCTGTACTTCTGTGTATTAGCCTGTACACTTTGTAGAAACTGACAGGAGCAGAGATGTGTTTTTATGTGAGGGACGAGGCAGTAAGTAGAACCCGAAGGACAGCGGTGCAATAGAAATGTCACACGAATGGGTGCCTTATGTTAAGAGCCGCGGGAGCAATTATCAGTGCGCGCCTGAAAGTGCTCTTAATCACCACGAGGCAGATGGAGGAACGACCTCTCCTCTCCACCCAAGGTGAAGAGGAGCTGTCTCGAAAGCGAATTACTGTCTTGTAAAGAATATGACTTTGAAGGCAGTGAGAAAAGGAGTCTCTCTGAATATGAAATGTTGGTCCTCAACGAGATGACGAACGTTTTTGGCCCCATTAACTTTAGAAAACCAGCACAGTATGGATCACGGATGTGAGGTTTTTTCCCTCTGTGAAAACCATCAAACTGCTCTGCTGTAAAGCCTCCACCTCCAGGTCTCCACTGCCTTTTGCTCTACATCCCCCTAGTGCTTGGTGGTGTGTATTTGCTGTATTTGCATTCAGTCTAAATGGAAAAAAACATACATGCATAAATAAATGTCTCAGTATGATTCAAACACTGTCTCTGATTCTGTAATGAAGGGAGAGGGATTTCTTTTTGAACTTGAGGAAATGTTTGTTTTGTTTTTCCCCTTCTGTTACTTGAATATTTCCATACATTTACAATTCAGCTTGTGAAATAAAGGGCTTCTTTTGTAACACCAGAGTAGTGAAGGATTCTTGCTGGAGTGAATATGATGGAAACAGCCTTGGTCTGTATTGCCATCTTGTGACCACGTTCGGTACATGCAGTAAAAGTGGGCTGCAGTGGGTTTCTGGGTGCTCTTAGTGCCACCTAGTGGATTTCTGAAACCAAAGAAGCATGCTCAACATTTTCACTGAACTTCAAAAATCACTTGGTACTTCACACAGAATACAATCACCTTATATTAGTCTGCGAAACACCTGCAGGATGTCTTCACATTGTTTACAAGTCACAATAGTTTCACCTTTGCTGGTACGGAAAGCCAATTATGTCAAAATTCTTCTTTTTTCTTTTCCCCACATACAGTCTCATTGCACAGATTGTTTTTTTCTAATTGCCCATGATGGGTAGATAACTATGGCTGTGTCCCAGTTTTATAATTTATTTATTTATTTTGCTCTGGCTTTTCCCATACCAGAGTCTGTCACTGCTGCTACAGAAATCCACTTATGTCTTAATTCACCCCCTTGATTTCTTTTTACCAGCTTTAATTTAGATTTATATCACCAGCTGGCATTTGCACATTTATAATAAGTTTCCATTGCAGGTCTTGATTAATCAGTACCGTATCACCCCAATAGAGCACGTTGCTGTCAGATTATCGGTGGCTCCTATGGTATTTAAAAGTAGGGGTTTTCACTGTATTATTGGAGGGTATTTACCTTCAATATTTAATATAAAGCAATTTGAGGAGACTTTTTTGTTATTAAGGGCTAATATAATTAGAATTGGAATTGAAGCGACAATAACATGTTGGATGATGGGAATTGAAGGATCTAGGTCTGCACAGTTTACTCAAAATAAATAACGAATGAATAATGGATACCGCTTAGAGCTATGTCAGCGCTGCTAGAAGGTGAAATCTATTTGTCCATGTAAAGTATGTCAAGAATAACTATTATGGAGTCCTCTACAAAATACATATTTATTTGTCACTGGTATTTGATTGGTGCAGTGGTTAGCAGGAAGGCTCAACAGTCAAGGTCACCTGGTGCCTTTGGGGACTCTGGCTTCCTCCTACAGTCCAAAGTCAGGTTAAGTGATAATTCTGTCCATATGTGTAGATATAAGAGTGTGTGATTGTGTGGTTGGCTGTCTCTCTCTGTTAGCCCTGCAATGCACTGATGTTGTTTGTGATGTTTCTGAGCTGGCATTCTTAATATTGGATAAGCAGCTAGAGGTAATGGATTGATAGTGTTTGATAATGCCTGAAAGAATTTCACAAATAAAGTAATTGCTATTCCTATTAGTGATATGTCTTATAAAGTGGGTAACACAAAACAGCAGAAGGCACAGCCTTGGCAACTGTGCAACACTGATATAAAAATATTTGAACTAGGAGGAAAAAATAAAATATTTCCAGCATGATTCAGTACATTCATCTATCCAGCTATTTTCACAGCTGCTGGTCCTTCCAGGGCGGCCTGAAACTAACATAAGACAGAATGGGGGTCTTACTCACCCTCCATTACTGGAATAAAAGCCCTAAAATCTGGTATGATCTAAGGCAGTGATACCTTTGTATTCATCACAGATACAGACAATATACGGAAGAATGCACACTGGACCTTTGATGGATCTGTTGTTGACACATCTCTGTAAACGAACAAGACTGGACGCTGAAAAATCCCAACTTTGGATTTCCATCCATGAAACATTTACACAATATTCTAATATTTAATCCACTGAAAGTTTTTTTCCCGATCTCTTTGCATATTAACTTTGTCTTTGATGTCTCCAGTTTTGAGATACTGTATATTAATGCACCAAAGCTAGATATCGGACATGTTTGAAATCCTTCACTATGCACAAACCAGATAGTTGATGAATATGAATACTGGAGTACTTATTTATAAATCTCAAAAATTCATGTGACATATGGGACAATATCTGGAAAAATGTTGCTAATTTAGGTTTGCGTGCACTCACCTTCTCAGGAAGACCAGCAAAATCCTGTTTGGATAGGCTGACATCTAAAACACCCAGATTTAATGTGCTGCAATCGTTCAGTTGAACAATTTTGTATATTATACTATTTAAAGGGCCAGGGCCCAATTCACACATACAGTCTACAGTTTGTGTTTCTGGTTATTTCTCCACATGAGATATGAGGAGATATAAAGAGAAGAGGGTTTGGATGGCAGAATTCCTTCATCATTCTTGTTTTTAGACTGTTTGTCCGAGGATATATAAACACGCATATGCACGATCTCTGGACACTTTATTAGTTACACTTGCTAGTATCGAGTTAGACCCCCTTTTGCCTTTAGAACTGTCTTAATTCTTTGAACAACAAGTTGCTGGAAACATTCCTCAGAAATTTTGCTCCATCCTGACAGCATCACACAAGTGCTGCAGATTTGTCATTTGTGAAATTGTTTTTGTTATTTATCAAAAACCTACATTTCTTTCTTCTTCCCCTCCTACCTAGACTGGTTAACATTACAGGGCTATCACAGTTACACATTCATTCATGGCTACACATTCAGCCTTATCACAGTCACCAGTTAAGCTACAGTCACACTAGGGAAAACAGTGGTTGGAGACCATGGCATGACTAAAATTACTGCTGTGCCATGGACTTCAAAGCAACTTTGCTACGTAAAGACAGTGATGACAATAGGATGACTGACTGGTGTCAAGTTGTCAATAACGTGTATTTAGATCGATTTGTGATAATATGATGATTAACTGTGATTAAATCATCAAAAATTGCAGGTCTCGGTGCCCATATATCTCACTGGGTTGAGCGATTGACCCATTTGCCAAAAGATTACTGCAGATTTGAATGTGCACACATCTCCTCCTTCCTTTCCTGTCTCTTCTACTGTCTTGTAAAAATTAATTCTAAATTATTACCCCGCCCCCAAAAAGAGAAAAAGTCCATCCAGAACCTCATGGATTTATGACAGAAATTCATTCACAAATGGCGATGTGATTGCTGCAGGACAAAGGCTTAACTGCAACCTTGCTTTCATATAAAACACAACCAGTTGAATTAAGCTCCATTGCAAAGAGACATGTAGCAGTTGGAGTCGGTCTGAGTCAATTCAATTCAATTCAATTTTATTTATATAGCGCCAAATCACAACATAAGTCGCCTCAAGGCGCTTCATAGATACAGAGAAAAACCCAACAATCATATGACCCCCTATGAGCAAGCACTTTGGCAACAGTGGGAAGGAAAAACTCCCTTTTAACAGGAAGAAACCTCCGGCAGAACCAGGCTCAGGGAGGGGCGGGGCCATCTGCTGCGACCAGTTGGGGTGAGAGAAGGAAGACAGGATAAAAGACATGCTGTGGAAGAGAGACAGAGGTTAATAACAGATATGATTCAATGCAGAGAGGTCTGTTAATACATAGACTACAACTGTTTGGAGACAGGTTGCCTCCCACCAGGTGACCTGTGCAGTTGCTTCAAAGTGGTCACCCATAGGTTGAGGGTGTTGCACGGTCAACCTCTGGTCAACCAGTCGGTTTCTGCAGGTACTCGCAATTGGTTTCCGACTGGAAAAGAATTCAGTTCAATCACTGGACAGCCACTGATTTTACATAGTTGTGAGGAGGTTGCAGTCCTATTCTTACTCTAATGTGATTGAGCCATCACCTGACATCTACGTCTTTAGCTTGTGGGAGGAAACCAGAGCGAAAAAAAAGTAGAACATGCAAACTCAGGCCCAAGACTTACAAATAAGCTAAAATAAATAAAAAAATTAAGAATAATAGATTAATAAAGAGAATAAAAGAAAGACGTCCTGGAGGAGAAATTGCAACTTGGGTAGGCAAGGCCGTGGATCATTAAGAGAAGGGGGGGGGGGGTAATTACCCTGTTCAGATTAATGGAAAGACACAGTCAATCGTTAATATTTCTGTTACAGTCCAGAGTTTTAGAAATTAGTCTCGGCAGGGATGAAGAAGCAGATAGAGACCCGAGAATATTCAGGCAAACAAAAACAAAAAACCCAATAATAAAAAAATACAGCTATTTGCATGGAAGAAGCCACTTCTCAAGAGAAAATCGACAGAGATAAAAACATTCTGAGCTAAGGAATATCTGGAAAGAGAGACTGATTGCTAAATATGGAGATCTAAAATTCCTGTGCTTCTTCTCCAGATTATTAGTATTAATGATGAGTGCTATTGGCACATTCTGTCATAGTTGTAGTGTGAAGATTTCCCAAGTCTGACTGCACTACACTGAATGAAGTCCTCCTAGTATTTTACCTGCCTTCAGGGCACGTTGTAATAAAGCCTATGAAATGGTGCAGGTGTATCACAGAAAAGAGTTCAAGAGGGGCACTTTCTTGCAATATGTCATGCAGGCCGATATCATATTGATGCACCAGAAGCACTCAGCATTGTTCTATAAATCGGTAATCTTTATTAACACAGTATAAACAACAAACAGCAACAGAAGAAACTCTCCTGTGGCGCGTATATGAGCAGAAGACCCAGCACATCTCAGAGGGGCTGACTGAGACAGAAGCATAGACATTGGGCTGATCGTGGTTCAGTTTTCATGGTACACGCACAGTATACACAAACTTATCAGATGCACGAACCTTGTACGGTCCTTAAGCCATTCAGTCGGTTTTGCAAATGGACGTAAGAGAGGACAAATTACAGTCATGCTGAGCAACAGTTAGCTACAGTATGAAACAGAGTTGATACATAAAAATCAAGTAAATCATCTCTTTAGAAAGGTTCTTTTATATAAATGATCTGAAGTGTACAAAACAGTATATTACACATTTCTCAATGCATGATTCTGAGCAAGACCCAGTAGCCTACAGTACACTTCCCTTCAACAGTACAAACTACTTAACTGGATTACAAGCTACATACAGACTGCACTGTACTCTGCGTAGCACAGCAGCCCCACATGGCATCAGGAGACGATGGGAAAAAGGAAAAGATCAGCAGCATTGTCTTTTTTATTAAGAATACACACCTATAAAAATGCACCAGGCCTCATATATTGCCAATATCCCATGCGAAACAGCAGAATGCCATTCAATTCACCTCTGTAACATCAGGAAAAGGATGCTGGCCCCCCTCACTACATACAGTTTTCTATCCACAAAGCTGCATGTAAACATCACCACGGCTGCTTCATAGTCCTATGTTTCTAATGTTTTTGATATACATATGATAAGTTAAGGCTCTTTAAGGACCTGAGGATTTTGAACATATGATGAGGCACACAGAAGGCAAAGAATAGCTCTAGACACAGGGCTAACTTAAAGAATGAGGAGCATGAGACAGCCACAAGGGCCCGGTTCCCATTGCTGTTAAACGGCCATGATAGAGGAACCCAGGGGAGAAGCTCTCAACGACAGCTCGATGTTACATCTGGTTACAAAGTCGGTAATTATCACGTGGATGGCTTTAAGTACTTCATCGACATTTTGGGAGCTGTTGGGTAACCCGGCCCCTCAAGGGACTGGCACCAAAAACGTGGCATGCTAATATGCTAATGCTTTAGCATCGAGGATGATGGGATTTAGGCTCACGCTATACAAATAAGCCAGTTATTGCTCCCTGTGATCATTCCTTCTGTCCGTACCGGCTGTTTAAAATCTCTTCCAAGTGCAATTGCAGTATGATCTGTGGTCCGAGACTGAATTCTAGAGTTCAGCAGAAACATTTTAGCATTCTACAGTTAGCAAAGTCCAGCTATTAGCGAGGAGGTTTGTTCTGTCTTCATAGCAGTAAAACTGCTGCAGCACAGCAAGGCGACACAAACAGGGGAACTGGCACATCAAAAAAACATTTAGTCAGTGCTAGGTTAAGACTATAGGATATTAGCGTGAAAGTACCATGGCCAGAAAGATGTAGCAAGGTTATGAGGCATGTTGAGTGAATGAGAGCTGACAAAAAACTATTGCTGCATATTGGATAGCTTACAACCAACATGCAAATCCTTCAATGGTCATTTGAGGCTGATTCCAAAAGACAGTACGTTCTAATAGACTTTTGTGTTAAAATGCTCAACTAGAGTGATTCAATTAACTTCTTTACAGCTGCTATTTAAAAAGCTTGGTTAATACAGTTTATAAAAATTGTATTTGGGGCAAACTGTTTTCATAGCTTACATGTCTGGATTTTGTTTCTGGATTAAAGTTAGGGATGTGGCCTGGCCAAGCAGCCAGTTAGCCTTCACCTTCGCTAATTCAGTCACTGAACTGGATTCCTCAACCATGTTTGAGGTGTTGGTGGGTTTTGAGAGAATTCTGAGTAGGATTATCATAAAAAAAAGGATACAGTTGGGATACAAGCTATAACTTACTTGCTGTGAGTTACAGCTTGTCCAAGTAGTTATAGTTTAAATTTGGTCAGTTTTAGGGGCGTTATACTTGTACACTTTAGGTTTGCTTGCTAATCAAGCTAGCTTTTGCTGATAATTTAGCCCTCCAAATATGTTCTGACTCAGAAAAAAAACAACATATAAGAACATCTGACGTTGGAATCTTTTAACGTGACACACTGAGCATGTTTATTAAAATAATTGTGTGGTCTGAGCACGGCACAACCAAGACCAGAACCTCATGTTGGACTTTAGCACAAGTGTCAATTAAGCTAACATGAGGCTGCAGTTGAGCTATGCCATCTTTGGACAGGAGGAATGATTGCAACTCATAACGCTTTCAGTGTTCACATTTCATGTGACTGCTTTGACAAAACTTTCCAAGCTTAGTGCCTATTAGGATTATCTGATATATCAAGATGACCCACAGCCACTTTCCTAGAATGATAAAGCATTAACATGTAAAGTCTAATGCTAGTTGTCTCTTTACAAACTGGGATTAATAGCAGCATATGCCAAAGCTGTCGATGCAGTCCTTTGAGACAAGCTTTTTTTTTTTTTTTTTAAATAGTGCAGAAACAGAAATGAAGAAAAAAAAAACTCACTTTGGTCTGCTGGAACCAAAGTCACAAGTAGTATCTTATTTTAGAAGACAAAGGGTGATCTGTCAAATCACATTCTTCACCTCCAGACTGGAAAATTTGATGATGTTGCTTGTCATGCAGATGTTCTGACCCAATACGCCCAGACAGACTTTAAATTTATTTAAGAAAAGAAAATCTATAAAAGCTCAACGTGTCATACAAAAAAATGCATATAAGACATTTTTTTCTGATTATTTTTTTCTTATGAAAGCTGCTTTGGTAACAACATAGTCACGACATCGGTCAATCTCCCTTACTTAGCCTGGGTGCTGAAGGGGACCCCTTCCCTGTTATCTCAATGGCGTTTTTTTTGTCTTTTTTTGTTGTTTTTTCCTTCGGCGTCTTCCTTTTGCTTCTAAAATCTAAATGAATGGATCTAGTTACACCGGAGTGGGCTTTGTTTGCGTTCTGCCGGAGCGCCGTCTTCACATCAGATGCAACGCCTGCTGCGAGACGTTTGTCATAAAGATGTCCGCGCTGTGAAAGACAGTGCTATTGTGCTGAGTGCTGATAGAGTGGAGACCTTGGATGCTGAGCCGACTGCGTTGGGGCCTGGAAAAGGTGTTGAAAAGAAAAAGGCTGTTAGTCTATGAGAGAAATATGTTTTTTTCCCCACCTTTTTCTTATTAAAGAGACATCTCTTCAACCTGCTTTAGCAATTAAGAGCTGATAAAAATATCAAAAACATGTTCTCATCTTACTCCTTGAGCAGCAGAGTGAGGCACAGAAAGGACTCTAAATAGAGTACTTTACTTTACATACTTTTTGGTGTCACGTAGAAGCTGTAATTACACAAATGTCAAATGCAGAACATTATTTCCCCAGTCTCTGTCGCTTTGGAGCAGCTAATCTGTTCTGCCAAGACAGCAGCAGGGGAGGGGATTATTCAGCTCAGCCACGAGGGAGACACTAACTAGCTCTCCACTGACCTGGTATCCTTGGGATGGTGATCTGCCTGCTACTGCTGCCTTCCCCTCCCTCACCAAATGGCTTTATCTGGATAATATAATCCTCGTCAGTAGGAAGCGCCAGCTCTACAGAGGTGGTGTTTGTTTCCATGACGCTGGGGCGACTGTGTCGATTCTTCTTGTACAGCACCTGAAGAAGACGAGATCGAATTATGGCAGCGTGGCACGGGACAGAATTTTCTAACAAAACAAGGCGTCTGGGTGCTTACTTTGTAACCAGTAACCTCTGACTCGTTCTCCAGGGCTTTGACCTGCTCCCAGTTCAGTATAATCTTGGAGTTCGACGTGTTCCACACCACTTTACCCGGTGGCTGACTGGGTGCTGGGAGAGCAAAAACACATCATTTACCTTAAAATGATAGCTGAGCAGTGGCACACTGATCAGATGGGTGTACTGTGAAGCAACTGTAACATAGCCAGCCTTTGTTTGTGCTAGCTGGTTCTATAAAACGTAAAATCCCAGTAAAGAGTTAATGGGATTCGCACTCTACACAGGAATGTACTGCGAGGTTGGAGATTGAGAAAAACTCTTCTGCAACTTCAAACCAGACAGACAGAATGGGATTAGAACCCACGCTGTCTGCATCACGCTCTGTGCTTATACAAAAGGTGACCCAGCAAATAGTCATAAAAAGGTGTTGAAGATGACTTCAAAACAAAATGAAGATTTGGTTAACTCTCTGAGGTAAGCATTGTTGATGACCCCAACCAACTAAGTATGTCTAATCCTAGGCAGTAAGAAAAGTCATACTGGGTTTTTTTTTGTTTGTTTTAATAAAATTGTCCTCTCAAGCTTTGGAAATAAGAGAACAAAGAAAATAACCATTCTATTTCACACTCATCGGAAACTGTTCACATTCAAAAAAAGTCAATTTTGGCATGTCGGAGCCACAGGTTCTTTAGAAAGGATAAACTATTTCCATATTGTTTCTATCCATAGCACAAACCACTGCTGTGCAATGTGCACAAAGATGTGCTTTAACTTTGTAATTCTCAAAGCTTGTAAAATTAAGTTCAAACTGAGGGTTATCTTCCAATTTACACAGAGTATAAAACTTCTTCAAGAGTCTGAGCTGTCACTTGAGAAAGCATCATGGCAAAAACAAAAGAAATCCATTTAGACTTGTTGACGCTCGTAAAGCCAGAGGGAGAAGTATCATCAAGAAATTCTAAAAGATTTAAAAGATTCTAGAAAGGAAATTAGTGAGCGATGTGTCTAAAGACCATAGAATAACTGCCAAAACAGCAGTGAATGACTTTGCCAAGTAAGAAGATGACAATCACTAGAGCTCTGCACAGGAATGCACTCGAGGTTGGAGATCGAGAAAAACTCTTCTGCAACTTTAAACCAGACAATATGATGAGGAAAACATGGAAAACGATGATGCATACTGGAAGCACATCTTTTTCTCAGATGAGATGAAACTAACTAATAACTCTGCCGTCTTTTGTACATATGCATACACTCTATGACAGCTGGAACAAGCTCAAACCCCCTGGCAACCATGAACTGCAGTAAGCAGTTGCATAACTGATGCATGCATGGAATGAACAATTTTTTCAATAAAGAAGAAAATACTGATTTCATATTGGCAATACTAAATCAGTGTCCTTTGTGTACCTGGGGTCTCTTCACGATAATTTTGCAAAACAATCAAATGTGACATGGAAAAAAAAAACACAAACAAATGTGTTTGTTTGTTGAAATAATGTCGAGGGTGATATAGACATCTACCAGACTTTCATGTCTGAGCTAACATGATCCCAATTTTATGGCTGTGTATCATTTTGATGCATATTTAGACCTCTAATCAGCAGAAAATTGCTCAGTGGTAACCAGTTGAAATAATCTGTATATCCCTAAAAGAGCCTAATGTGCTGATTCTAGCTGATATTTAACTGAAACTCTGAAGATAATCTACTCTGGACTGGCCTATATGATCAGTGAAAGTTACTATAGAGATCTATTCAGGTTAAAATAGGCCACCTTTTATCTGAGTTTAGTCCCAATATAACTCAGCCAGCCATTAATCTCTTGCAGGCTCTAATTTGAGCCCATACTTACGTGGCTTTTTGGTGGTAACGTTGACGGTGGTGCTGGGAGGACCTGTTCCTGCAGTGTTATACGCCCTCACTGAGACGTAATATGCGGTGCTGCCTTTCACCCCGCGGATAATAGTAGATGTTTGATTTCCTACAGTCCTTTGCACGCTGGCCGTGTCTTCCCTTTCACTTCTACTCCAGTACCTCAGCTGAAAAGCAACAAGGTAGAACCGCAGACGTGAATGCAGAAAACACGATGGACACCTTAAAAGCTTTCTGTTACACCCTGTCAGTGAGGTGCGAACTGGAAACAGGGAGATGTGGACTCAACTGGATGGAAGCTGTGAGCAGTCTGAAAACAAGCTTTAGCAGCATGCCACCTTGTGCGCCTTGTGAACTGTGTTCCTCCGTTGTGCCGGGCAGATGTGTGTTCTGTTTAAGTTTTGTTTGTACAGATTGAGGTCAAATATGCAAAAGTGGGGAAACAAAAAAATAAATAAATAAAAAAAAGTGAAAGAATCCATAAAAATCCCCTGCCATCAATGTCCACTGATAACAGATTTTCTTTGTCACCCTGCTTGTCAGGGCTGAAACAGCGGGCATGCTTGACAGCACAAATATAATTTGCCTTTCCTCAAAGGAATGGTTTGCTGAGGGCCTGCTCCTCTGTTGCTTTTGAGTGGTCAACAATTTATAATTCTGGCATTTTACGCAGTCCGACGACTCAAACGTCTTCGTCCACATCTTGGATTTCAACAGTGAGCAGAATTAAAATGACAAGAACTGACGGAGAAAGTCTGCAGAGCCACTGCTTGCTATGTTGTGTGGATTAGAAGCTAAGCATTCTATCCCTTGGAGTATTGCATCAGCACGCTAATCAGGGTGGTTACAGTACTTAGGTAAGCAACAAGAGAAACACAACCAAACCCACAGGCCTGGGACTCGGCTGGACCATTATGCAGGCAGCGAGCTATTATCTCGTACGCCCAAGGTGCATAAGTCTCGAACACTCATCAATAATAGAAGACAACAAGATTGTACAGCATTAGCTGGCATGTGTGCGCACACACGCATACAAACAGGAAATGCATCCAGGGGAAAACTCACACAAACAAGGTATTTCATCAGAGCTCACCTCGTAGCCCAGCACTCTCTTCTTGTTGGCGTTCCAGGGCAGAGCTTTCCACGAAACTTCAATCTCAGATGCAGAGAGGCTCTTGGCGCGGACCCTGGTGGGCGCTCGGCCAGGCTCTGGAGTTAATGTGTAAAGACTGGTTTTAGAAGTTGCACTGCGCTTTGATGACCCCTCAAAGAGAGAACATCAAAAAAGTTTCAAAGCGGCTTCTTTTTATTAGAACAACAGAGGGAGGAAAGTATGCTGAAGACGCCTGCGAGTGCTGATAGAAGAAGGCTGCCTGCGAGATTGCTGCTGCCATTTAAAGAAAGGAGGACTGACTCAGTCTTTTAGTGATGAATCACTGCTAGCTAGACATGCAGATCTACTCCAAATCATACACACCTTCCTCAGCAGAGTAGATAGTGGTAACAGGTCCAAATGGCCCTTCTCCCAGGTTGTTGTAAACCCCAACCTTGACTTGGAAAGGGGAGAAGGGCTGAATGCTCTCATTTTTAAAGACGTATCTGGATGCTTCAGCGGAGGGTACGGCTGCCTGCATCCAGCCTGTGGCGCCGTGGGGTCGAAAAGCCACCACATAGCCAAAGCCCGGTCCGTTCTGCAGCTCTTCCGGAACAGGCTGCAGGAAAACAACACTGTGTGAGCACTTGCAAAAGAAAGGGAAATAAACACACTGCAACTCTGTCTTTATATTTTATTTTTTAACTACAGTTGCCATGTGAGGATGCGACGAAATATGGTCAGACACGAGGCTTTCAGTTTTTTAGGCAATGCTTGTCTTCAAATAAAACATGCTGAACACACAAAAACTATAAGTAGACACATCCATTACACAGTACAAAGCACTCAGCATGATAACATAGCCGTAGCCGTGGTCATGCTTCAGATATTTATAGCTCCATTATTCTAGTGAATAAACCAAACCTCTTCACTCTGGTCTACTAAAAGATACATAGAGCACATCTTTTTTTTTGTCTGGAGAGAAGTGGGGTGTACTGTTTTGATAAAACTTGTTAAAACTGCTAGAATAAGTGTTTATGGTCTCCAGACATTCAGAATGACCACCCAAAGCTTTTAAAGGTTCTTGAAAAAACAAAAAAACAGTACTAATAAGACAGAAACAAACACACTTGAATACGCTGTGGTGTCCCTCAGGGATTTATTCTTGAGCACTCTTTGTTTTCAACTTTTTGTTATTATTTTACTATTATCATAGCAAAACTGCATCTTCTCTCATGTTTGCTGATTTTTCTCTGCAGTTATTAGAGGTAACCTCTAAATACAACAAATGGTTTTTATATTATGCAGTTTTTCTTACTTCTAAAAAAGTGTGAAAAACCTTTTAGAATTTAATTCGGGTTTAGTGAGTTTGGCATCGTAACTAATGGTGGGTTCGGGGTCAGCTGTAGCAGATATGAAAAAAATGAAACTTTAAAGCCTATTCTGTACACAGCGTTTGCTACTGATATTGCCTAAGCATTTGTACATTTATGAGGTGAAAAGTATCAGTCCTAGGGTAAAGTTTTGTCTTTTCATTCAAAATAAATAGATGAGAGTTGAAAAAAAAACCTATTTATTTATATAATTATTTCACCAGTTTGCCAAGGTTTGGATGAAGACCCAACTGTGACCCTGAGATGAGAGGAAGTTAGTTAAGATGTTCAGAAACAAGCCAAACCAAAGCTCAAGCTGCCATGAGCTAGAACCTGCTGAAAGTGTCACTGTCCATTGTGAACTAAGTTTTACATCGCTATGGACTGAGAGGTTGCTCACTAAGAAATAAGTCGAGCTCTATCTGAAATGAACTAAATTGGCTACCAAAAACATCTGGTCAAGGTCCAACTGAAACATTTAAGCAAATATATGTGGGGTCTATGTATATATCTGAAGCCGTATGTATACTTTTGACTCTGCATAGTTTAGAGAAAATCCAAGAGAAATTCAAACGTGAGCATCCAATTCTTATTTTGTAAAAATCATTAGTAATACATGCTGCGTTCCACCCTGGAAAAAACAACAGTCCAAAGAAATCATTCAAAGTCGTCCGACCAAAACTGTTTCATACTAAAGTAAACTAAACTCTTGGCTGGCTATGTTTGCTGACCAATATAGAGTTGTGTGTGTCATTGACGCAGACCTTCATTCATATCTTGAGCTGTATTCTAGGCCCCGGGTTGCAGCCATGCGAATAGAAATGTCTGCTGTTACCCTGGGGGAGAGACGCCTTTTCTTAATTTCTTAAAGGAATAGTTATGAACAACCTGCTGCCCCTGCTTTTGTGTGAAAACACAACGGCATAAAGAACTTCAGGGGCTGAGGCAAAACAGGGGCTTCGCTTAGCAGAAGTTACCTTTTAACCACACTTGTGCATACTGAAACATCAACAGTGAAATGGTTCACAGCAGGAGCTGATGATTCTGAGCAGCAGCTTGAACAAATATACGTTTTTGGAGCCGGGCTGATATGCGGGGGGCCTTGTAGAAATAAGAAAAGAAAGAGAACGAAAAAGGAAAAATAAAGAAAAGAGGAGAAAAGTGAGAAAATAATCACAGAAAAAAGCCGGAACTTCGAAGGAACAACTGAGTTTAATTATCTTATTGAAACCTCAAAAGCATTTTTCTCTCCCCCAGGGTGACAGCAGCAGTTATTGCCTTTCTGTTCTTAAAAATGAAATGCCATACATTAAGCAGTTCAGCTGTTATTAATGAAACAGAGGCCTACATCCACAGAGAATAATGACGTCTGGCTGCCTCCTCCATGGGTGAGGGGGTCTTGAGCAAGCTTGCTTACCTCCCATGTGATGACTAATTCGGAGCGACTGCCACCGCCTCCGCTCACATTAGCTGGTGTGACCTTCGGAGCTAAAGGAAGAAGACAGATCAGCTTAGCTGGGTTGACTTCACATGACACTGCAAAGGCACATGTAATAATGCTCCTTCCAGCAAATCCTAAATTGCTAAGAGAGGTAAGTGTGTGACAAGCCTGAACTTCAGCATTCAGATACATCAGCAAACTTCCCATCTCCGAGATGAAAAGGGAACACGTAAAGAATCTAAACTTGTTAAACTGCTAAAAGAAGCTTTTAGAGATGTTTTGCAATTTGAATGAGACTTTCATTTTCTTTTGAGGCAGTAATGATATCCAGCACACTGACTGTATATTCAAGGTTTTTGTATTTTATTTTCCTAAGATATTTATCAGCATTTCTAAATTTATTGGACACGTGTGTAGAGAGAAGTGTGTAGAGGGAACGACACGGAGCAAATGTCTTGCCTATTGGGACTCAAACCGGGAGCTCCTGGGAGCATTTTTTGGTATGCGCTCCACCTATCAGGACAGCCTATTGGTTGACATTTTACAAAATATGCTTATACCCTTTACTTGTCAAAGGTTACTTGAAAAAATTTATCCCAAAAACGGAAAAAAAAACTGAACTAAAGACAGAAGTTGTGAAAAAACTCTGAGCAGATGTAAGAAGATCTAACAGAACCAGTCAAGTTGACTAATGAACATATGCTTGACTGAAAACAAAAAGCCCATCTCGGGTGGGAATTACGTGGTGGAAATAAGCAGGAACCAAGGCTGAACATTGAAGCCAACATACTACAAGTAGCAAGAACTGCAGTTCCTCTCATGGCCACTTGAGCCTGGCTCCAAAAGCGTGCTCATCCCCATTGACTCCCATGTTGAAATGCCCAACTTAACAGTGTTAAAAAGCATCTTTACAGACATCTATGGATAGTTTCATAACAAATTTATGGCGGCTGATCACCCATCTGGAAACTGGAGTTGGGGTGTGGCCACTTTGACAGATGCTGTGACACCAACACATTCTCACTCTCGAGGCGTAATATTTTACGCTAGGTGACAAATCATCAACATATTACGCTTCCGGGCACCCAACACATCCCTAAATGACAAGATCGGAAAAATGAGGAAATATGAGAACGGTTTGGAATCAATCTACACATGTTCGTTCATTTTATTAAAATCGCTTTGGAAAACACTATTTAATGTCATTAAAGTGGGGTGGCTGTAGCTCAGGTGGCAGAGCAGGTCAGCCACTAATCAGAAGATCAGTGGTTCGATCCCAGGCTGCATCCTGGCTGCATGCCAAATATCCTTGGGCAAGATACTAACCCCATGTTTGCCTGCTGGTGGTGGTCAGAGGGCCCGGTGGCGCCAGTGTCTGGCAGCCTCGCCTCTGTCAGTGCGCCCCAGGGCAGCTGTGGCTACAATGTAGCTTGCCATTGCCAGTGTGTGAATGTGTGTGTGTATGGGTGAATGACTGAATGTAGTGTAAAGCGCTTTGGGGTCCTTAGGGACTGAGTAAAGCGCTATACAAATGCAGGCCATTTACCATTAAAGTGCTGGTTCAGGTTAGGGCTGGAATACATGGCTGGAACGTGTATTACCACGGGAGCATCATTCTACTAGATTTTATCCATAACCCGGCGCTACCATAAGAACACGGAAGGTCACCTTTTGCGTTCCTCAGGAATGCCGCGTGACGTGGAGTGATTCTCCCCTTGAGTTTCTCATGCAACCAAGCTTGCTAGTGTTAGCTGATAACTTCACTTATGTATTGACAGAGCAAGGCTAACGGTTTCCCTTCCTCCAGCATTAATAAACATTTTGGGAACAGTATTTCCAAAAAAAGTATTCAGAAAGTTGGGTAAATGATATGTATACTGGTCAGTTTTGAAAACAGATTCAGTACGTACATGTTCCTTTTGTCCTTGCTTGTTTGGATGGCTTGCTGGGCTCGCCAGTCCCGATGGAGTTGCTCGCAAGGACTCGAAACTCATACTCTACCCAAGGGCTCAGGTCTATTACTGTAGCTGTCAGCCGGGTGCCCCGTACCACCTCAGGAACTGGCAGAAAACACACAGTGCCCTCTTCAGTTTCAACACATGAATGTGTGTGGCTGTGTGTTCTTGGAGTGTCTCAGCTAAGCATCAGTAGCATGCTATCCTCCAGGCTAACAGACATGGTAGTTACACAGCACATTTCCAATACCACACAAGGACGCATAAGGATTTTTAAAAAATGCACATAAACACATACATTAACCATTACATTGCCAATTTGGTGATCTTTGTTGAAATCTTTAATAATGCATGCATGGCACTGTGTAGTTGTTAAGTCAGCTGAAACAAGCAAAACACCAGAATCGCTGTAAGGGACTGAATATTGAAAACAAAAATAATAAAAATGATTCCAGTTAAAAAGGCAAAAACTAATTTTCTTCCTCTGGGTTCTGAGCCCCTATAAGGTCACATTGTATTTCTGTTACAAATCTATGACCCTTGCTTGGCAAATCAATGCAGCCAGTAAAACCATCTTTGATAAAAGTGTCCTAATTCACAAAAATATCAATAGAACGAGATAAAAGCATATTACGCCAATCATGTGTAAATGTTAAGGGTGCCATAAAGGATGTGGGCAAAGATTACACCGATCCCATTACTTAACTGCACTATCAAATTACGGCTGTGGCAAAAAAGCTTCATCATCGGGACGAGATCCATGTTTCAGGATTCCGAAGAGAGCGATAAAATGGGAGTCAATGGTCCCACTACAATTGATGCTGGGGTAAAAATTACATCTTCAATATTTTCACAGCCGAGGCATGATGAAGAGTGGCCCCCTCCAGGTGACTGGAGGAGGCCACAGCTGGTTGGAGAGAGCTTACCTGTGGTGACAGCTTGCCACCCGAGGGAAAATGGTGTCCTGGCTTGGATGGTGTATGCCGTAATTGGACTGTGATTATCAGGACCGGGCCTCCAGGACAGAGAGGCTGTGGTATCAGTGATTCCTTCTACATGGATGCTGGTGGGGGGCCCTGGGGGACCTGATAGATGGCATAGCCAAGGCAGGAAAGAGAACAGAAAGATAGAGAGACAGATGGAGGAAGAAGGTAGGGGAGGGAGGGAATGTAAATCAGGAAAAGATGGAAAGATGGTAGAGAGTGTGGCGGTGGTTTTAGCACCTGAGGCTACTGCAGCGACGTCAGTTCAGTGAGAAACCTTTGGGAGCTATTGGGTCTAATTAGACAGTAAATTTCCTTTAAACCTTCCAGAGAGAAATTTCCACTCGCCTCAATTTTCTCTCCCTTTATTCCTTCGTCAGTGAAGTGCAACCAGTCACAGTAAACATGCATCACTGACAAAGCCAGTCTTCTTCAGGTAGATCGTGAATTATTTAAATCACAGTTATTATGGTGACTCACCTCTGATGACCAAGTCAACAGCCACGGAAATGCTGTCCACCTTGGTTTGCACGGCGCACGTGTACTTCCCGGCATGCCTCAGCTGTACGTTCCGAATCATAATGTCTCCCGCCGAATGCTGCTGTCATTCAACACATGCACAATCACCCGCAAACACACAAACAAGCAAAGGAGTTTCGTAAGCAACCTGCTATTGTGATTCCAATTCAACGCTCACTTTTTCTGTAGCCAAGCGGGAACAAACGAAACCAAACAGAAAGCTTATTCTCATGTCTTCAAAAAGGAATTCATATTTCCACACTCCCACTTTCCATCTATATTCTAAAGAAGCACAAAGAAATACCTCTCTATACCATGTGCACACCGTGCATTTGTTTTATCCCTGTGATTACAGAAATGAACTTGCTCTAATGGCTTGATTTGAATTGCGGTATGGAGCCGCTTCAGTTATACGGCGCAGCCTAATGGCTAGTCTAATAGTTAGTTCTTTAAGAGAGCCTTTCATTCCATCTCTAATTGCAATTCCCTCTCCTACATTATCATTTTACCCAGGCAGAGCTGAGCAGGTTCTGTGATAAATTGGACATGGCGGAAATATGTGGCACAGTGGCAGTAAGAATTCTATGGAGTGGCTGGTAGCTTAATCAATATAAGTGTAGACGAACAGCAATTTATTAAGGAGGGGAGACTGTAAATCACGATCCTAGAAACACCTAAATCATAAAGAAAACAGAAAGAAAAAAAACGCCTCTGCATTGGATTTTTTTCCCTCTGTATTGCCTGCAGTTTTTAAAGGAGCCTTGCATTTTTTAGCTAAAAGAGAAAAAACCCCTCCAACTCAAAACAGTGCATGGCATGCTGAGGTATAAGCTGCGGACTTTATAAAGTATACAGGAGCTCACTGAGACTGGTTGCATGTATGTAAATTTCTTTTTAAAATAAACCACAGGCAGCAAATTTTTTCTGCCCATAAATTATACACTTGATACAAACATTCCCTCTGCACTGCGGCTGAATTTATTATGACCCCGCTAAGAGAAGAAGTATAATATTGATGTACCAATTAATCTTCAGAGTCACATCTGGACCTTTTATACAATGAAATCTCTGAAGGGGGTTGGGCAATAAATCAATGTCTTTTATGTAGCAGTGGTGCTAATAAAATGAGGATTCCTCCACGAAACTCAACAAGGTTTGAGTTTTAATTATACATTATGCGCCTCAGCTTATGTGGAATATATGTTATCAAAGCTGGAGTGTGACAATAAACAGAATTTGAAATGATGCTCTCTCGTGGGAGAAACCCTACAGCTAAGCTATGCCATTGGTCGTTAGCATGCTAGCACATTAGCAAATATTAGCATTCCTGAAATTACACACAACAGTGTTTTGGCGAGGTGGGCACAAACACAGCTGAACACTCCAGTTTGGATGTCATCCGGAACTATTTGTGGACCAGTTCTATTTCTGTTCTCACTTGTTGTTAGGTTAGTTTGTTGTCTCACCAAAAGAGCAATTTTTTAGCAACTGTCCACACAGGAAGCTACTTGGCGACCAGATATAACAGAAAGCCGATGACATACAGAGTCTTAAAGCTACAGTGAGTGAAATAACTGCTGGGAACACAAAACTTTGTTCAACTCGACTACCAATGAAAGTTAAATGTGCTGTTTAATGACAATACATTCAACAGTTACAAAGATAAACCTGGGATGTCTGCTAGCAACTAACTATCAGCTAGAGGGTGCTGCATGAATCACTTCCTGTGTGGATGAACCTTTAGTCTTCTGTGTTTATATTGCTGATAGATGTAATTAACTGACATCTATCTGGTACTCTATTTTCATTCAATTTTTTGTTGCATTAATACAAATATAAAACTAAAATTAGGGGGTCTGACTGCATGTGGAAACATCAGTATCTGGCCATTTACGCTGCGGTTATTGCCATCATATCGTGATCGTTTTTTGGGGGGAAGACAATGGGGGATAACGTCAGCTTGTGCTCCAGGGATAAAGCCTACACCGTTGGTGTGTTTAGAGTCCGATATTAGCTATTTGCCAATTTATTGGTATTTAAACAATATAATAGCAGACTTGGGAGAAACACCCTTCAACCATTTTAGGAGCATTGATGCTGAATAGTTTGGCCAACACCAAGTTGAAATGCCACAAACATGTGACCACAAAACAAGATTCTTTTTAAACTGCATTGTCGTATTATCGTAGCAAGGACTCATAAATAGCAACACATAAAAAATGAAAGAGAAATTTGTTCATGTTTAGTGTCTGAAAAAAAAAACTAATCCGATGATATGTTGGATTTTTCAGTCATCAAATATTGATAATTAGTTAGGCATGAAAAAATCCACAGTCCGGCTCTAGCAGTGTTTACTTTAATATGAGTCTCAGATGTTAAAAATGTAATATGTTTAAAAAAAAAAACAAGAAAATAACATAAATCTAGACATATGATCACTAATTATCATCCCCGTGGTGGATAAGGAAATATTAAACTCTGTTTTGAAACAGGTGGTGAGTAAACTGCTGTTATGTAATAATGTATTTTATATCTAGAATGAAATCTTTTGATGGAAAAACAGCAGGAGACACAACAAATTGTAACAAACAGCAGAAATGAGTATGTATATATATATATATATATTGCTAGGTGATGCACTCTGAAAGCACCACGTTGCACCTTTTGAGTACGCTATTTTGCTACCGATAATTTGGTACCATAATGAGGGAATCTGATATAACGCTATTATTAAATCATACACTTGTCAGTGTCATAGAATAGCACTTTTCTAGCCTCACTGGCCACTCAAAGCTTTATCTGTCTCCCATCTGTAACAGATGAAGCAGAAAACCAAAGAAAGTCATCAGCACAGGGAGAACGAAACCAAGGGAAGGCTAAAACCACAGAGCTGGGAAGCCTTCTTTTCATGTTCTCTCTGTGTCTGTCCAAAGACATATATTTTAGGTTAATCTGTGAATCTAAATTGGGCGTAGGTATGGATGTGAGAGTGTTTGATTGTCTGTCTTTATGTGTTAGCCTGGTGATTTGTCCTTACTGCTCAAGCAGATAAGAAATTAGATAGAATTAGAGAGTAAAACTAAGATTTTACCTGATTTCTCTTTTCATTTGGCTGAAAAATATACTTTAAAAAGAAAATAAAGTGTGGCTAAAATCCTCAAACACATACACATAGTTACTGCCTTATTTAATTCTAGGGGGTAAATGTTTTTCGATAATAGCTACTGGGATAGAAATGCACATTTAATGTACCCCTATTTCAAGGTTTGTTGTTTTTAGGCATATTTTGTTTTCTTGGGGATAAAATGTCCAAATACTATATAAACGCTCATAGCAAAAAGGCTTCCCGGACTGATGCATGAAGGCATCCTGTCTGCACACCTCTCACAACATGACAGCTTGTTTTAAAACCAGAGGCCTGTTAGTCTCGCGGCCTGTCAGAAACCATGAATGATGAAATATTGACTTACGCCTCCCACTTTTTCAAAGAATCCACCGTGGCTCCCGAAGTGGATGAGCTGCTCGTTGAAGAACCAGGTGAACTTGAGTTCCAGAGACGGGTCGTGGCTCACTTGGCAGGGCAGGACCACGCTCTCCCCGACGGTGACGTCCAGCGTGGAGGCCAGCGTGGTGATGACGGTAGGCTCTGAAAAAACACACATTCATATTCACGCACGTCTGATCAAGCACGCTGCACGCCTCTACTCTTTCCAGGCATTATAATTCAGCACAGGAAATGGCTTTGCAAAAAGCAGAGCCCTTCCATCATCCTTATGGATATGTCAGACTGAGTTAATAGAAGGATATACGGGACGGAGCACATAGCAAACTAGGGTGCACAGCTACAATAACTGGTATTAGTTTCGGCCTGAGCTTGTCTCTGTGGGGACTCGGAGGAGACGTGTCTCTCCTGCAGCCCGCGAAGCCTCCATGTGTCACTGTCATCTCAGCCTGCAGACTGGAACTCCCCTCGACCCGGCTGCAATTCCCAAATCGAACTGCTAGGAAAACAGCAAACAGGACTTCTTCCAGTCGTCAGTGCTCTCTTTTCTCTCCTGCAGTGCATTACAGTGGCTGCACATGGGAATAAGACGAGCGTCCCTTATCTGCACTCGTATGTTAGCGATGGAGGGGGAAGGTGGAAGGACGTGAGGGAGGGAGAGGCTTTATACTCAGAGTGTGCAGCACCTGTCTCCCTCTTGGGGGTGCTGTGATTACTTGGTTGAAATAGCCACTCTGAGCACATGGACTAAATTAACCATGGCAAATGATCCCTGGACAGGCATAGATTCATGTAGAAAGTGCCGGCAGTGCAGTCTTCATCCACAGTGAATTCGATACCTTCATTGTATTGGCTCCCCCTCTCTGTCTCACACACACACACACACACACACACACA